CGGATCACCTGATGGTAAGCAATCGGCGTCGCCGATGGACATCTGGAACACCAGAGGCGTTTCAAGTGCGTCACCGGCTTTTCGGGGATTAGGAGTTTGAGGATCGTTGGGGATTCAGGGATCGGGGAGATTGGGGAAGGGGAAGGTAATTGGGCCTCCGGTAACCTCACTCACACGACGAAACGCAAGCGTTGCTTCACGTCGGTTTTCTGTGAGGCCGTGGTATCACTCCGGTCGAGCCGGCCCATTCGTGCCGAAGCACGGCTCTCCCACATTTAAAATATGGTGATACATCTGCATGTTTGCATATCCAATAAAATATCGAAACAATTAAGTAGTAGACACCTAAGTAAGTATTTCGTGACATTTGCATAAATACAATATGTATCGGTATCATGACATTTATTAATATAATATTAAATTAATTTATTTACTTTATTTATTTGTTTATTAACGCTTCATGCACAAAGTGTACATAAGGTGGACTTAATGCCGCGTGCAATTTACACAACTGCTCAATAAAATTTTATATCAATCAAACAATACATTTCTCTTTCCTTATTTAGCCAATTGTACATTTATTTAATTTACATAAATAATTAACCATAATTATAGAATGCATCATACTTTGCTATCGTGATCTGTAAATGTTCAGGCGGTTTCTATACTAGCTTTTGTCCACGGCTTCACTCGCGCGTTATAAAGGGTTGGGAGCAGTTTGACAAAAAAAATACTATTTTTCTGTGGGTCGATTTTTCAGTCATTAGTTAACTCTTAACTGTAGAATAAAATTGACATTTGACAGTTGTTAGTATGGAAGAATTGTTAAATATTTAAAGTTATTCCTTAGTTAAAATTTATATGGAGTTGGAAAAACCTACCCTTAGTCACAAATACCAATTTTTAGCTTCCTACCTTGAAAATTGTGGATCGCTCCATACAAACTTATACTCCCCGTTTTAGAAAAGGTGAGTGTTATATAAGAAGTATCCTAAGTCACTTTCCATCCCTTCAACTATCTCCACTAAATCGGGTCAATAGGTACGCTGCTCCTTTTTACCGCGAAAAATAAACAAACAGACACCCACAATTACGTATTTATACAATTAGAATGAATTATTGATTTTCCTTACATTTTTATATGACTGAGTCACTGTTGTTCCTCCCTGCTAAGATAGACAGTGAAATTACTTCAATTATATTCTCTACCCTTTCCAGTTAGTTTCGGTCTTCTAGGTAAATAGGTATGGAGCCGCGGAAGGCCTAACGGGTTGCGCGGGCTCTGGCTCGAAGAGCAGGAGTAGGAACGGGTTGGTTATTAGTCAGTAAGAGTCTGACACTCCCTCTCGCCTAACCCAAGGCGGGAGAAGTCATTTGATGATTTTCCCCCTCGAAAAAAATGGTAAATAGGTACGCACTATTTCCATCCATCTTTGATCGGTCTACCCCTTTGGGAATCAAAAAGGAAGAGAGTTCAAGCTTAGCTTCACGGTAACTTTCCAATATCAATAACTATAACTACATCAAGAAAAAGGATTACCTACACAATCAGTTCCAGTTTTTTTATACTTGATAGTTTGACGTTTGACCACCATCTCGCCTGGTGGTAATCGATAATGTGGCCGACGATGGAGCACGGCTACCTATGAGCAACCTGTTCACTCGGAACTTGAAGAATCAAGCAAATCAAAATCAAACACCCAAGTTGTATTTGTCAGGAAACACAGATTCCGGCAAGGAATTCCATGTGTCTGGTGGGGCGGGAGGAAACGCCCGGGTGGCATCACTGCGAGGACCGCCCTGAAGACACGGTGGAACACACAGTAGGGGAATGCCCTGTGTGGGCTGAGCACTGCCGTGCCCTTAGGGATGTGATCGGTGACGGCGACCTCTCGCGTCCAGCCCTAGTGCTGGTCATAATTCGGAGCGAGGGTACTGGGATGCCGTCTCCTCCTTTTGCGAAGCAGTCATGCTAGCTAAGGAGGAGGCGGGGTGCCTGAGGCAGCGAAGCGCTGAGTATGCTTCGCGATGGCTGGGTTGATCACGGGACGATCATCGGCCACGGTAAGCGCGGGCCTGCGGACGGCGAACATGGGTGGCTCGCCGCCCTACTAGAACCAGGACCGAGCGTACGGCGCGTCACGTTCCGTGCGCGTCTCAAAGAGCCTCATACCACCACGCATGGGGCCCAATAGGGCCGATGCCGATACGGAGACGCGGAGGACTTAACGGGTTGCCGGGGCTTGAAGGGCAGGAGTAGGAACGGGGTATTTTTTAATCAGTAAGAGTCTGACACTAAAGGCGGGAGCAGTCATTCGATGATTTCCCCCCCATAAAAAAATAGGTAAGGGTGGCGTCCTGCTGTTCGTCCTACACCTACGTCCTCAAAGATTAAAATTATTGTTTCAACCAGTTCAAGTACATAGGTATTATAAGTGCTTGTTTTATAACTAATCATATGAATGATACATCGGTTTATAGGTTTATTAACCAAACGGCACTTTCCATCTGTCATCAGCTACGTAAAAAAATGATTGAGCAGTTGCTATGTCTTACAAATCTAGTCTGTATTGTCTTAAAGATAAGGCACTATGTACACCTACATATCGTTTATTTATGTTTTCTTAAGATCGTCCATGAAGATTGTGCGATATATATTTATTTATATAATCTTATCTCATTTGAATTAAGCAGATCTAGATCCTTTTATTACCTGTATTATGTTTACTACATTTTTTTGCACTAGTCATCATTGGTGTTCTATCTTCTAGTTCATATTTAAGGCGCAAAATGTGTCTTAACCAAATCATTGTTTGTGGTAACACGTAGCGCATCACAAACTCTTTTGTAGCGCATCACAAATTAACAAATTGCGTTCGGTTTTTAAATTCGGCAAGGGAGAAGGTGATTTTCTTTTTATTTATATTTTTAGTATATTAATAATATTTAAAAATGTATTAAAGCAAACATTTTAATCATTCACTGTCAAAAAATATCATTCAAGTTGTATTGTCCCGAAAAAGTCTGACATAGTTTAATGCGATGAAAATGATAGTACATACATTTTCGTAGAATACGTTTCGTCTGGTAACTGATAGACCATATTTAAATGTACCATCTTAAGTCGCCAGTTTGCCGCCCAGAAAAAAAAAACAGTATTTCGAAACATTTTGTCCAGACATTTTATAGTTTTTCTAAAATGGAGGAAAATGTCATGTCGTGACTATTTCAATGCACGAACAACAGAGAAAATTGAAAAACACGAAAAGGCATATTACCTATTGGAAATTCTCCGTTCATTACTTGTTTTCCTTAATATTATCCTCCTGAGTACCTACCAATCTAACGGATTTTAGGATCAAGTCAAATATTTATTTAAGAAAATTAATGAAAAATACGCGCAACAACTTACCAGACATCTTTGTCTTTCTAAAACTATTTTAAATGAGGATAAATTAACTATTAAAAGTACACACCGATAGTTTTTAATTCATGGGCATTAATTAATAGGTTACAAGCGAAAATGATATAAAATTTTCGACTAAGTAAATAGGAGTGAGTTGCGGTTGAAGTTAAAAAGTAGACTGTTTGGGAAAATTCTGACAAATGGCTTAAATGCATGAATAGTCTTAACATTTGCACACTGATTAAAATTTTCGAGACCAATTAGGCGCTACAAAAAACGCTGCGCTTAATTATCTTGTTATTTGTTTATTAATTTAATATTTATTGCAAAAAACATATTTTGCTTCAGAATTAATTAAAAGCAATACCGCTTGAAAATTTCAGAATTATATTTTTTTTAATTTGTTTAACAGAGATATAAAAGTTGCCAGCCACAATTAGAATAAATCCTTACCATATCTTATAATATCATTCAATTTTTGTAAAAAGAACACTCCTTATGAAAATTAACTCTGTAAATCAAAGAAATTAATTTGCTATCTAAGTCATAAAATCAGACAAATTAATAAATGTAGGGAAATGTTCAACTTATTCGCTACTTAGGCTGTACACGCTATTAGAAAGACATTTCGGAACAGTTCAATTTTATTATCAAATATTTAATGTAGGTCGTATTTATTTTATACCATGACGGTGGCAAATAATCGTTTAATTTCTTTTGTACATTTTACGCGAATTAGTTTAGTACATAGCTACCATGTGTTCGTGGTAGGCATTTACTCCTGAAATAACAAGTAACATTTAATTACTATCCAGTCATTATAGTAGTTTTACGATCTCCAATTTCTTTCAATTCGTTGTTTCGTGGCTCTTTGGCTCTATTTCATTTGGAACTTAGTCCATGTTTTTTGCTTTGGAATTTGGAAATAATCTACCTTCTTGTCTAGGTAGGTAGTTCGTTAGCACATCGACAGTCATCCAGTTCTCAATTCGGCCGGTAATTTTTTTTTAATCACAAATCATACCAAGTAATATTACCATATGATTAAAACCAAAGGAAATTTACTTAATTTCAATTGGAACCCATCAATTTGAATTATTTTAATTTTGCCAAAGAGTAAACACTGATTCGGTGATCCAAAAGGACGATTACCATTTTGTTCATCTTCGGGAAGTCTCGAAGTTTTCGGGAAATAAACTTGAAAGTGAGGTCACTCACACCAGAAGATAATGCGCGGAAAATTTGGGTTAAAACAATAAATTAGTCTGTCTAATGATAAACTAGACAAATACAATAAAAGATTATAATACCTACTGTGATTATAAAGTAAAGTATTATCTAAGTCTCGTATCAATTGTAATAATTTTCCTGGACGTTTTACGATGTGTCTGTGTTGTCTGGAGTCCTGTGGCTTAAATTAGGTACCTACAACATAAGAGTAAACAAGTTGATCACTATAAAACTGAGATCTGTGAAAATGTAGTGTAGTCATTTCACGTAGGTTACCGTTGGGTAGGTTACCATACCTACTTTTTTTAATTTTTTTCCTTTTTGTTTTTAGGTTTTTTGAAACGGTCGCTAGCGAATTTCCAAGATGATTTTAGCACCTGAGGTAAGTCTTTTTTATAATTATTATGCAATTAATTATATGGTACATAATAATTTTATGGTACAGCAATGTCAGATGTGTGCAATACCAATTTAAAACATTAAGTAGGTACATAAATAAAACCAAAATCTACATTTTAAGTCGTAATTGATGCATTCAACATTTTGTGCTCGATAAATCTTTTATTCGTTTATTCAACTCCAAGATCCCACAAGATTACTTGTGCAACGAAGTAATTTAAATCGAAATAAATTTTTATTTGGATTTGGAAATAATTAGTATTTCTGCTATCATACAACAAGCACAATTTCTATTGGCATGCCAGTAAACTTCTTTATAATGTTCTGAGCCAGTAAATTAACAAAACATCGTAAACACATTGACATGTGAAGGAAAAGTGCACTTAATTAAATTCCTCAACTCATTAATTAAAGCAAAACTGAGTTTTAACGACTTCACACTTCTCACCAAAAATTAGCAAAAACAAACTTGATCTCAACTCATTAATGCCTTTACACTCCGAGATGCAATTAGCAATGACGGACTAACTGACAGACTATTATTTATTTTGTATTTGTTGACGTTTCAAAAGTACCAAATTATGGTTTAATTGAAATACATGCTTTGACTTTGACTTTGAATTTGAGCCTATTCGACATCATCATTTGATAGAGTCCAGTTTACATTGAACTGTGGAGTGCGAATTCTTGTAACTAGGTTTTGATAGTCTTCGTGAGTTGATGTTTGGTTTTTATTGTTTCGTTTCGTGGGGGCTTACTATAACGCTTTACACTTAGCAGATGGAGATCGCGGTTTAACTCTTTCAGTCACGCTTTTAACTGGTTACGAATATATTTTATTTAATTATAGATACTGAAATGCCTTAAAACTAAAACAAAAATATTTGAAGCAAAGGTACTTCAAAAATTGAATTTCTAAGAAAATATGGTTAGTTAGAGCGACCACTAAGACTGAAAGAGTTAAGAGGTTAACAAAACATAACTTAGGTTTAACAAAACCTAATCTAATCTAATCATTTTAAGGACCGATTTTTCAATCATCAGTTAATGCTTAACTGAAGAATAAAATTGACAGTTGACAGTTTTTTTTTAGTATGAGAGATTTTTCAAATATTGATAGGTATTCCTCAGTTAAAATTTATTTGAGGATTGAAAAAAGTAAATAAAAGGCCCTTTGTAGGTTAAAAAACGTTTAACAATAATCCTTTTTAACTGCGATTTCCAACGCTACCGTTCGGTCGCTGTTATGTAGTCCCTCATTCGACTCTAAAGTGGAAAAAAATCAATAACATTTTATTGACTGCCTCGTTGGCCGAGTGGTCACAAGTGCGACTGGTGGGCTCTCGGATTCGATTCCCGGATAGGGCCATGTTACTGGAATTAAAAAAAAATCTCAGTAATAACACGCAGTCTGGAATTGCGCCCGGTAGATGGCGTTAGGCTCAACCCCTATTACATGGTACTCATAACATAAATAGTGAAAAGTGGGTGCTATATTGTACAATGGTATTAAGTGCCGACGTGCCGTAATATGTACCTCTGCCTACGTCCTTTATATTATTTTATTTTTAAATTATTTTTATTATTCTTTTTTAATATTTGTAATCAATAGGCACTTGGCCGCTATCTCACCTGATGGTAAGCATAATGTATTCATGATTAACCTATTAATTCTATTGTCAGGAATGTGGATGTCCTATAGTAGAAGAAGGGCCAAGTCTAGTCAACTCGCCAGTATGTGGCGGCAACTTGTTGTTCATGGTGTTACTCCAAGGGTATCTATGGGGTCGCTGCAGTATATCGACCCCATGCAAGAGGATTGAGTCTGTGGATGAGACGGAGCAAGAATATGACTTCATAGTCGTTGGCGCTGGCTCCGCGGGGTCCATCGTAGCTGGACGTCTTACTGAGAATACAACTTATAAGGTAGGTATTTTTATAAATCTTTGACCGACTTCAAAATAAAACAGTAGATTTTATATGTATTTATGTTTGTGTGCGGTTATCTCGCAATTGACTGAACCGATTTGGATGCGGTTTTCAGAAAAGTGTTTATTACGCTTCAAAGAAGGTTTTGTATATATTAATTAACTGGCTTCAAAAAAGAGGGGTTGAAGTCGGTTTTTGAGTTTATAAAAGAATGATCAATCTTATTGTATAATAGTAAGGTTTGGAATGTGTTGTAGATATTTGATGTCCATCTACACCCTGTAAAAATATTGTTTATACTTACTTATCGCCACTAATCTCTAATTTAGAGACAAAATCATACCGAAGTGAGGGAGAAACTAACTCACTTTCACATTGCTATTTTATAGTATGGATGAACCCGTTTTAAATTTTATCAAGTCTATTTAATTTTAACTTTAATACATATTAAATAGGTACTAAATAAAACGTAAACCAAGCTATTCCTACTTAAGGTCAATGCACGCCTAACAAGCACGGCTCTAACCCACAAATAACTTGTCATTTAAATATGAACTACAAATTGTATGTCGTATGACACATTTCATTACGTCAATATCAAAAAGGTGTAAGCGCGCTGTAAAGGCGCGGGCGGCCGACAACCTTATGTATTTTTTCCAAAGAAAAAAAAACCGAGCCGTGCTCGTTGGGTGTGGGATAACCTTAAAAGTAAATAAAAATATGTTATGTAGTTAAATATAAAACTAATGCCTACTTAATTAAAAACAAAACTAAAAATAACTATCTTTAAATAAAAATACGTATTAAAATGTTAATTATTTTGGTACTGTACTATTTCTTTTTACTTATCTACGAGAAGGTTTTCTTTCACCTGACCTTAGTCTATTTAGATTGGGTTCTAGTTTTCACCATCAAACATGGAACTAATATCCTTCACAAATATTTTAAATATACCCATAATATTCCAGTATTTTATTTTCTACAATTTGTAAATGACTCAATTAGTTGGGCTCGTAACAATTTCCGTAGCAGGCGTAGCACCGTAGCACGTCACAGGCGTAGCACCGTAGCACGTCACAGGCCACAGGCGTAGCACCGTAACACGTCACAGGCGTAGTGCCGTAGCACGTAGCAGTCGAGTCAATCATCCGATTACTACCTAGCTCTAGACAGCACGACATTAAATACAACTTTATATTTAAATTTAAATTAAATTAAATATTCTATCGTGAATAACCCATTTTTAGTTAATTCTGTATGCCTTACAATAGTTATTAAAAAATTTAAAGTAGGTTCACCTTTCACTCTATTAATCAATATTTTTGAGACAGATAGAGTTTTATCCTTCAAGTATACCAGTAGACCAGATTACATTTCTTTATCCTTTTAGGTACTATTACTGGAAGCAGGGGGTCCTGAACCCCTAGGAGTTCGAGTTCCATCATTCTACAGGACATTTTGGGACAACCCCTACGTGGACTGGCAGATACGTACCGTGCCTAGTGATTACTGCCTCGATCAAGATGGATTGGGTTGCAAATGGCCGCTCGGAAAAGGATTGGGTATGTTTCCTTTCGTAAAATAAATCTAGGTTTACCGTTCTGATAATTTAAAGATTTTTCTCATCAATAACGTATGACAGTGTATTGTTGAATCATGGAATGACATAACAGGGTTTTCCATACTCTCAAGTTTATACAAGATCACACTATCACAGTTTAGTTTACGTTCAAGTTTTAGTAGTTACTGCTTCCCGGTCTCTTTCAAATATTTACTAAGTCCCTTAGTCGATGCGTACGACACCGGTGGGAAGATAAGGGGTGGCACTAATGTGTTCTACGCATATGTAGAGCCCCGGTATTAGCATTATTCTCATTATTGTTATTTAGGTACAGTGGGAAGGTCAACCTAGTCTTTTTTGTCTTGACGCCGTTGTGCCGTTGCGCTGCTATGTGACGTCACACGTCATATCGAAAATCCAATGGCTATAATATACACACCGGAGTATTTGGAGTAGATTGATGTGCTAGCCACTGTACCTAGTTATTTAAAGAAAAGTTACCGCTGTTGATGAAGCGAAAGAGGTATATAGTCTCTGCCTACCCCCATGGGAGACAGGCGTGAAGTTATGTAAGTGTGTATGTTTTATCGCTGTGCAATTTATTTATTTCTAACACTCCAATGACCGACATTGGCACTTAATTATAATAAATTGTGTCAACGAAATAGCATACAATAGGGGAGTATTCTAAATTTTATTTTAATGTACATTATTTTAAAACATTAGACACTTTTTTTTCTTTTCTTACAAAATGAAATACTTTCGACGATATAATATTGATTTGAAATATCGTGTGACGTCACGATTTTATAGCGTAGCGTGAAGTAACGACCTCCCTCTCCTAAACTTAACTCTGTTTTATCTAAGTATTGTTTTCTTATACGACAAAATATTAAATATGTGTCTAATATACATATCTAACTGACGGACTTATTACATATACACTGTCTACTTAGAATAATTAATTAGATACGTAGGTACGCTACTTGTCTACAAGTTTATAAAATAAATGTTCATTCTATTTTTTTGTACGTCAATGTTTAACCCATTAACCTGATTAATTGTGATAGTCTAAACGCATAATTTTGTGGATGCCGATGGAACAGCAGTTACGGAGAAGTAAGTGTACAAAATAAATGAGTCACATATTTAAATAATTATGTATTATACACCGTAATGGTTGTTTTCCCGCAGCAGAACGATTTCCCTTTAGTAGTACTATCGAATAATGCAAGTTACTTAAGTGACAGCGGCCAGTGGCCGGTCGCGGCGGTACTATTGGTTCGCGGTTTCTTTCAAGTTTCGTGTATCACTATCGTAAAACTGCTATTTTTTTATTTAAATAACTTTCTCAATCTATTGTACTACTAAGATAGAATCATTTTACTGTGGGAAAACAACCATTAAAATATTACGGTGTATAGAAGTTACTTTAGACGTCACGTTAGACTATAAGCACAAATCGGAAACCGCAGACAGTTACCCATTAAAAATTAACATTGTAAGCCAAGTTTGAGCAATCTTCCCAATCGTTGCTCATTCTTTCTCACGAAGCGACTAGGTGCTTTCAGACTGTTTTGTTTTTTTGTAATTTAGTGACGAATATTAAAAATAAAAGATCACAATCCATACAAAACTACCACATCACATGTCCCATAACAAAGTAATATCCTATCTAAAAAAAATGTAACAAAAAGGTTTATTTTTTTACACCTTCATATTGAAAAATTGCTTTGAAAATAGTTGCTATTAAATATTGGCGCTATTAAGAAAAAGTTCTTCGTATGAGTATTTTGGGCCGATTAAAATAATTATTTCTTTGTTTCAACAAGCCCCCAAGGTACCACAGCCATAAAGTCAGGTGCTCAGTCCCCAGGATCCAGATATGTCACTTTATAATTATCCCACGTCCTGGTAATTTTGATCCATCTTCTTTCTAACGTCAACTTTTTCGTTTATCAGGAGGAACAAGTCAACTGAACGGAATGATGTACCATCGTGGTCACCATGCTGATTATGACTGCGACTGGGTGGAAGCTGGCGCTAAGGGCTGGTCCTGGGATGAAATCAAACCGTTCATGGACATGGCTGAGGGCAACAAACAGATTGGTTCCCTTGTGGATGGAAAATATCATTCTGATAGTGGAAAAATGCCTATTCAGACAGTAAGTTTTTGACCGTCTAAAAAAGATAGAGGTCAAACCGAGAAAGTTTGATTTGTTTCTATGTGTTTTAAAAAAAAACGTTTGTTGCACTTAGGCGCAGGTTTTAGTATAACCGACAGCATTTGTACGTTCTTTAACTTTTCGATCCTTGGTTGCTGCTACGCTCCATATCACGGGTTCGATTCCCGCTTTATATTATTTGCGTGTTCCACAAATTAGTGCTCCGGAATCGCATCCAAAAATTTTTCGATTACAAAGGAGAATGGCAGGTTTGTATGGAAGTTTTGTACCGCTATAAAATTTTGTATTAGTCATTGTTTTAACCAAGTGAATAGTCTGAACGATAGATATTTTTATTATGAAGTTTAGAAAAAAATTACATATTTTTAGAACTTGGGGTTCAAAAGTTATTTCACTTTGAAAATGTGCAAAAGGTATGTTAAGGTGGTACTACACTTGACATTGCGTAGTCGCTTCATTTGTCCAAATATTTGTAGACTACGTACAAATGGCGTCCAAATAGTATCTCTATATGTAATGGCGTGCAAATATATAGCAAACAAAGAAGAATAAATCCTCCAAACATGTTCTTTTTTGGCCGAACACAACAAATACGCAACGTCAAGTGTAGAGCCACCGTAAGCAAAATATCTATTACAAATGACAGATGACAGTTAACTGAAAAATGTCAATGTGCTCTCATGTGGTTGTTTATTTACAAAAAACAAAAATCTAAAAATACTGCTCGCTACTCAAGTGACTATTACACTTTGTATTATTAGAAAGAAAGAAAGAAAGAAAAACCATTTATTTTGCTACGACACACAACAAGAATTTAGAAACCCAAAAAATAACCTATGGTGCGTCGCAGCGCAAAAGGCAATTAGGAATGATCCTGTTAATTCAGCAAGCATGATGCACCTATAGAGTTTTAAAGAGTATGCCTCACAATCTTTTTCATTTCTTAGGTGCCTACGAAAATGCAAATTCATAATGTAAGCGACTGTCATTGGGTAGAAGGCCTACATTTAGCAGTGGAAGTCTTGTGGCGGATATGATAAAACTAATGTCTCACTTCACCTTGAATCTTGCAGGTATAATAGTCTCAAGGGTCTCAAGTTAATTCGATTTAAACTTAGCTTAGCTCTTTGAGAAAGTATTTCTTCTGAAAACTGGTTGCTTAGCACGCATGTAAGGATTAATTTCTAATAAGTAAGTCAAATTAGTAGAATCATCAACATTTTCATCATTAAGTCTATAAGTGGCCACTGCTGACCGAAGCTCTTCTCGCATGGAGGTTTGAGCATTAATCACCATACTAGCTCAATGTGGGTTGGTAATTCAAACTTATAATAAGAAATTATAAGCCCATGTTTCCTCACAATGTTTTCCTTCACCATTCGTCAGCGGTGTCTTTGTACTTTCTTAGATTATTGAATATACCAATAACTCGGAAAAAAGACACATTGGACAAAAGGTACTTTGCCGTTGGTAGGTTTCGAACCCGCACTCTCATGCATGAGAAGCGGGCTTCTTAAACCTCTGGGCCACCACATTACAACTAAAGAAAATGTAAAATGAAAATGAACATTTTTGGTATAAAACTAAAGCTATCTAAATTAAATATGGCATTTATTTTATAGATTGATTCTTAAAAAAAGGTTAAAATAAAACAAATGTATTATTTTGAAATACTTTTATTTCATTGTATTCAGGTTGTTTCTAGGAGTACTTCATCTAAAAAGAGAACAGGCCGTGTCATAGGTACAGCAGACATCAATTGCTGATATCTGTAAACAAGTAAGATAACTGTAAATAAAGTAAACAAAAGTACATTTTTTTCTTTTAGTTTTATATGTTATAATAATAAGTCTGATTCCCTATCTTAAAATGGAAAAGATAAAAATAAATATTTGATTACATTACTTCATTTTATAACATTTATTATAGTTATTCGTATAACACAGATCATAGGAGCTCAAACAGCATGCTAATTAATAAATTATAATTATAACATGAGTATAAACCTATTAGAAACCGCTTATATACTCCACATAGATACATAATTATGTAGGTACATTATATTGAGAATGCATACCTGTTGAAGCTTTGAGAGCCGAACAACATCATCCGGCCTCATCTGTTCTACAAATGGCAATGTTAAAGTGAGGCTTAGTCCATGTTTACATAATACATTACTTCCTGATAGTGAACACTGTGAGGTGGTATGTCAGGTTGTGGTTTTATAGTTTCGACTCTTGTACGGTCTCTCAGTCAGTATGGAACATGATCTTATCATGGGAAGTAAGCTAAAATAAGTAATATTATTAGAATATGATATTGACTTTAGATTACACTGTATATAGATAATAGTATGGTTAAATTATGCTTTATTACCTCTTGTGGCTGAATCCAATCAAATACTATATGAGCCAGTCTTTACTCCTGTTTGTTGGCGCCTTCAATTAAAACCCTGCGTCACCTTATCATTGCAATGAATCACCCATATACGACACAAACATGCCAGTGACCAATTTGTTTGCTGGACATACTTTCAGCAACATCCCGATACATTGCTAATTGCCAGCAAGCATTGCAAATATGGTCGGTAGGAGAGATCTAGAATAAAAAGAATAAAATGATACATTATGGGTAGATAACACTATGCGCCTTCTTTTATTCAGGCAACATGGTGACTTTCGATATGTTATGGGTAAACTAGGTACTTACATCTCTAGGATAAGTCCACATTGGGATATTGTTGACCACGTCTAATCTTCACTCTCATTTTCTAGAGCATGCCGTCTCATGTGCGACAAACTCTGAATGCAATTAATACACTGTAAATTCATCATCGCGACAAATAACAACACACTGCACAAAACAATGTAAATAAGTGTCTTTTCGCAATTGTCACAACAATGATTCCAATAATACCAATTTGGGCTACGGAGGAACGGTTGCCAAACTCAACGTATCACCAGATGAATAAAATAACTTCAAATTCAACAAACACATCATAACATCGCATTTGAAACAAACAGCAATGCGCCAGTATTGACAAATTAATTGTCAATGTCATCAAGACAAATGCCAGTTCAACATTGCCATAATATTCAAGTTTGTTAAAATGTTAATTATCATTAATAATCCATGTAAACGTAGATTTAGATTGGATGTAGATTTTTATATTTACTTATAAAAATGTTTGAAATGGAAAGGAAAATATTTCATTGATAGATATTAAAATAAATGAGTTTATGAAATAGCGAAATTCAATATGCTCTGATTTCATCTTTACGCATGGCAACTTTGTAAACGTCAATCGCGGTTCGTTTTACGTATAGTGGATTGCTTTTTATCATTATTGAATATCAGTTTTTCTAGGGTTTCCCAAGTTTTAAAAATCTATTAAATATGCTAACATAACGTACTTAGGAGGTTCTATAAAGACCCAATTTTTTAATGACAAATCTTTTTTTAGCGAAGCGGTACAAAATCTGCCGTTCTCCTTTAATTTTCTATATATCAAATCACATTACTCAGCCGCCATATTTGTTTTATAGTTCCGTTACCAGCCCCCTGCGTTGTACGACCTGATGGATGCCATCAACGAAACTGGTCTGCCGCTCATCAAGGACATGAACGACCCCAACACCCCTGAAGGGTTCGTCATTGCACAGGCTTTCAACGAGTAAGTTTTGAATATCGTGACATACTAAATCATAGAAAGATACGTCTTAACCGCGTGAACTAATTGCTACCTGCTAGTTTTAAGCACACTGTGTATTTTTAAGACCCCGGTTTTGACTCGAAACTAGTAGAGCTTTTCTCAATTAGTTTACAATTCACTTAATTACAGATTTGTGTTAGTTTTGAGCAAGTATATTTTCAAATAATTGAGTAACTTTAATTAAAACCAATGTTGGTAAATATTTATATTTCGTTTCGAGTTAATTAAAATAAAAATGCACTTTTATAGCTGCATTTTTGTTATAACTCAATTATAACTGATTATTCACAATTACAAAAAAGGTAACGAAAATCAGTCTAGCAGTTCTTGAGTTTACGACCACAAAACGATTAAGAAAATCCAACATAATTCAGTTGTAATAAATATGAACAGTGTGATGTGAATATACTTAGTTTTTATCTTAAAGATTTGATAAGTAAGTAGATACCTAACCAACAGTGATATCATATAGAATCAACAATTATTGTTCATGTACACGAATAATAACATTTAATTACTGTGAAGCTTCTAATTCTAAAACAATAATATGTTTATCTAATCAAGTCTATAAAAAAAATAAGGAAATAAAACCAATGTAGTGTAGACGGTCGTTATCTGACTCCTTAATTATGACTAATGATTACCTAACTGTTATTGTCTAGTGGTTATAAGATAGGCTGTTTACCGTGTGGTCGGAAATTAAATTCGAGGAGCAGCCAAAAGTTAGGTTTTTTGTTATTGTGAGTGTAGTTATTGGAAAGTATAGAGTTAATAGTTAATATTAGTGTATCTCTAGGAATAGAAATAGCTTACAGTAGGTTAGTACTTATAGAAACTTATTAACAACACGGAAATCTGTAGCTACTTAGACATAAAATATAACTCAGTAATCGGCATCATTTCTTTTTTTTACCACGACGGTGGCCAATAAGCTAACGGTCTACCTGATGGTAAGTAGTTACCGTGGCGTATGAGCGCTTGCAACACTTGGGGCATTACATGCCTTGCTGACCTTTGAAAAACCTAACACTTTGAAGTACTCCCTTCTTGAAGAACCCCATGCTGTAGCATACCGGGAAAACCTCGGCAGAGTTAATTCCACAATCGGAGGGTCCGTAGGAGGAAATTCCTATGAAACCTAATTGTACGGGACCATTTGGGCTCCAATGTGTGAGCAATACGATGATAGAAAGTGGTCGCATCATGTACCAAAATACCCACTTTTTATGAAACTGAAATATTGAAATGGCAGCTAGCTTTTAGGGAAAAGGCTTTTAAAAGACTTCTTATCTCACTAAAACTACCTCGATGCGCTCTGGCCACTATCAGCACCTGAAATAGTGCTCTATAGTATGTTCTCTGAATAGACCAATCATAGCCCGTATAATGTAACGCCTGATATAATATCAGTCGTTATAAATTTATGAGATGCGGTTCTTATCTTTATGAGAACGACCGGAATTATTAAGTCATCTGTGGATTAAAATCGATTTTTGACATTACTATTGTACTGAGTTTCTGTGAAAAACTTAAGATTAATCTAAAGAATTCAGATTAGAATTGGTTATTAATTTCGGGCATAAAATGACAACAGCTTTTAGTTTTAAACGAAAAATAATCGTTTCAGTAATGGCCAACGCTACACCACAGCACGTGCCTACCTGCCTCCCAAGTCAGAACGCCCGAACTTGAACGTCAAGCTCCATGCTCACGTAACCAAAGTCCTATTCAGGCGCAAGAAGGCTATTGGAGTAGAATATGTGGATGAAAGTGGAAATACCAAAGTTGTGAAGGCCCGTAAAGAGGTGAGTAAGAATTAATACGCTTCTTAGGTAAATAAACTATTCCCCATGCTGCATAGTCTTCTATATTTTTGTTAACATGAGATGAAGGACAAAAGGACAACGAAACAAATCGAATTCTGATAAAATAGTTACAGAATATATATAGATTCATAGAAACATAGCCACGTGGTGATAGTACCTAGACAAGTGCCGAGATCAGGTATGGTAAACCTCTTATGTACAGGACACCTACAGTCTAATAACGAACCTTCACGATCTGTTGATATTTTATAAACATTTTAATACAAATTTGCCTTTATTAAGCTAAAAACCTTTTTTCCAGGTTATCCTGTCAGCAGGATCCTTAACCAGTCCAAAGATTCTGATGCATTCCGGAGTGGGACCAAAAGAGACGTTAGAACCTTTAGGCATCAAGGTTATCGAGGATCTACCAGTTGGAAAGAACATGAAGAACCACTGTGGAGCAACCCTGTACTTTATTCTGAAGAAGGTGAAAAATACCCAGGCTCTCGACTGGAGTGCTCTGACCGACTACTTGCTACAGAATGATGGGCCCATGTCTTCCACTGGAATTACACAGGTGAGCGAGGATGCCTCGAAAGTTTATAATGTTGTATTTTGTAAAATCTTGTTTTTTTTTTCTTGTTGGTCAAGTGTGACTGCCAAGCGTCTCGGGTTTTCAGATAGTCACCATACATGTACATAACACATAGGTATATCATAGCGGTAAGAAATAATCGAGTAGCTACTTATGTGTAGGTAAGTGTAAAAAAAAGGAAAATTGTGAGAGACGTTCTCGTTTTCGGAATACCCACTAGAATCTTCTGCCAACAAACTGCTATACATTTTGGCAGATGCTAATTTTGATAAAATGTTCTAGTTTATAATTAAATAAATTTAAAAACACTGTCGGTACTGTCTGTACCGTGTCCCCTTCATGGAGTTAGAACGGGTTGGTTTTTAGTCAGTAAAAGTTAAACACTACCTCCCGCCTCAACCAGGGCGTGAGGAATTATTACTTAGATAGATGATTTTCGTCCTACAAACAACGATACTTTTACCATAACGATTTTTTATTAGCTATCTGCCATACTTACATACGCACACTTCTATTCCTACATCTTCTGATCAATATAGTTGCCTATAAAATTACTGTTTTATTCAACATTTACTTGATGTTCTCTTCTTTACAGTTAACAGGTCTCCTGTACTCAAGCTACGCCAAAAAGGAGCTGAAACAGCCCGACCTACAATTCTTCTTCAACGGCTTCTACGCTGAATGTTCTAAAACTGGCGCTATAGGAGAACCTGCCAATGATTGTCCTAATTCTGGTTACAATGTATCGTAAGTATACAAGTTTCAAATGTACTGTTTTATAATAAAGTTCAAAATGACGCGTAATTAAACCTTAGTGTTGCCAGTAACTTAAATTAAAAACCTACCAATATATTAATTAATTTAATTCTCATTTGCAGAGCGAACGCAGTGTTCTTACTGCCACGTAGCGTAGGGTACATGACGATCAACTCCACCGATCCTTTCGAGCAAGCTATCTACGACCCGAACTTCTTCACAGACCCAGTAGATATGGAAGCCATCAAGGAAGGACTCGATTATTTGCACCAAATATTCAATAGCCAGGTAATCACTATTCGAGATTTATCCTGATATTATGATGGGTGACAGCAGCGTAGCACATATTTATCACTACTCCTACTCTTGCAGCGAGTATTGTAAGACTCGATTAAGAGACTACATTGGCCAGAGACCATGTAGTAGAAATTTAAGAAAAACCTGAGCTTTTTTTACTTTGCAACGGAGCGATTTTCAAGTATACCTAACTAATTTTAGAGAGAGTTAGGAGGTTGAAAAATGATATACATTTTTCCTTTGGCTATTCGGACAAAATCGCGTGTTGCAGATGAGACTATCTGTATTACATATTTCCATTCTTTATTTATTTTCATAAATAATGTGATCTTTACAGCTTCTTCAAGAGCAATATGAAGTGGAACTGGATCCAGCGTTCATTGATAAATGTACGCAACCGGCCTGGTCTGATGAGTGGAAGGAGTGCATGATCAGACTGCATACTGATCCTCAAAACCATCAACTCGGTACCTGCGCCATCGGGAAGGTCGTTGACCCAGAACTTAGAGTTTACAACCTTAAAGGTAAGATGGTACTAAGATGTATTTCGGGCGTTATGAATAAGAAGTATGAAACTTTTTGCAAGCTTTTATTGAAATATGAATTGTATTAAGCACAAAAGTTACAGAACCGAAACTACTTCTCAGTCAAAGCATTTATTTCAAACGTCAAATGTAGATTGCGCCTAACTATGGGACAACAAGAAAAAATGCACTCAGTACTCGTTTCCTTATCATGCTTTGCACACTGTAAAGTGAGTGTGTGTGACCTTAGTTGTGTAAGAGTTCGAGCCACCAATGCACTACTGACCCTATGTTCTAATTCCAGCTTTAAGAGTATGCGACGCTGGATCGATGCCATCACAGCCAACAGGAAACCCTCAAGGCGCAATTATGGCAGTCGCCGAAAGATGCGCACACTTCATCAAAGAAGCCTGGCAATGAACCAAATAACCCACAATGATCTTAAACCCATACGATACGAGATAATTTATCAGAATGAACCTTATTACTTAGACATAAAGTTCAGTTCTTATTAGGTTCCAAAAACTTTATTTTATTTGCCATTCAAAAATCAACCAAGACTGCTAATATAAAGTAGATTTTTGTGTAAATTACTGAGTTATCTCGTGTCATTGGGGATTACTATTAGTTTATGTTTGTTCCTATAAATATTATATTTAATTTTAATATCACACACAAGTTATGTATATTGTTTTCTACAACCAAAAAAATATTGCACATTTAATGTGTCTACCATGTAACTTGATGAATAAAATATTGAATATTCATCTAAACATTTACTTGCTTTTTATTGCTACAATTTAATACCCTTAGTTTAGTTATAGTGTTGCCACTGACATAAGGTAAAACATACCATAATGGCCGGAAATAAAAGTCAATGTGAGAGATAATAAAATTTTATAATGTAAATAAATGAAAACAAATACATACATACATGATTACACAACTTATACACACTATGTTAATACTATAAGTTAATTTTATTGAAACCTAAAATTAAACATTTCATAATTTAAAAACAAAAAGATTTGTCATTTCAACTTAAAAACTTCATTTTTGAGAGATATGTTAGTATCTAATTGAAGGAATGTTAGAATTAATACTTCACCAATTAAATGAATGGCAACACTGATATTCTAGGTCTACAGGTGCGTAGAAAACTGATGTCATAATAACAAAGTAGGTATTGGTATTCATTATTTCACATTACATACTTTTAATTTAAGATATGCCAATTTTCATACAATACTGTACTCCAGAGCTTAATTTATGTTCATTGCACAATTCACTTTAATAAATCACAAAAACTACACATCAGAATGCTGTTTATTGTCTTCCAATAACAATGTTGCCAGAAACAGGAACCAATTAACTACAAATACATGAAGAGTATAAAATACACAGGCCAAACCTAAGCTTACAAAATTAAATGGTCCAATAATAGGAATTACAAAATTAATTTTAAAAAATGCGAAATGGAAATGCTATATACGTAAGAACTAGAGTATATTTAGCACCTCAGTATCTTTAAGAGATTATTCTGAAATCCATAATTATGAATCCTAACTTAAAAATCTACTGATTCTAACCAATTTTAGTTTGGCAATACAATTATCAAAATGGCGTTGTTTAAGGCGGGTAAATTCAGTCAGAGGACCAGAAATAATAGGAATATCATTGTTTTTAACCACATTTATCTCATAAGTACTTCATTACTCTGACTGGACAACATTAGAGAAAAAATCAGAACAAAACGTAGTTTTAAAAAATTGGGGCTCTTGGTATTAAGTACAAAAGTGAAAATAGATATATATAATATTGTCACAAAACTTCGTTTTACAATTGCTCACACTTATCATTAAATGATCAAAATTATTGCTGTTCTAGGTCGAAACCTTAATATGTATGCCACAATATAATTAGAAGTAATCTAATTAGGCTATTCTTAGCTCAAATCCCTCTGACCATGGATATTGTAGCTCAAATTTTTAAATTTATTCTTGGTACATCTGGTTAACATTAAAATCTTTCCTATAATGGTCAAAGGCAACCTAAGAAAAAGCCATAACTACACTAATGATCAAATATATATTTATCCACTTTGTAAAAAAGATCAATTTGCGTTAAATGTATCCAATTGAATAAGCGCTACATCGGATACATGATTAGTAATCAATCTCTAATGTGTTTACACCCACCTCAAGATTAAATATCTTATTGCTCATCCTTGTCCTTAGCTCCATGTTTAAGAATACGAGTGAACTCTACGTAGTCAAAGAGTCCATCACGGATGGGAGCCTCTCGGAGCATCTCGTCAACATCATCATCTGTGAACCTGTCTCCCATTGTGGTCAGCAGCTCACGGAGACGTTCCTCATTGATCACACCTTGGTTCTCTTCGTCAAAGCAACTGCAATAGATTAAAATAACGAATCAGGTATGATTATTACAGCAAGTACAAAGTGTGTTGGGTAAAATTTGTATGTGCGTGTATTTGAACTAATATAATGAGAAAGATTTGATTATGTTGTTTGTTTGCTTTAAAAAGGCTTCGAAACTAATGGAGTAACTCGCAAATCAACCACGTAACACGAAATCTTGCGTTAGTTCAAATCTTGTGTTACGTTTATTGATTTTAGCTAAAAATACACACACATTCCGAAAGTCATAAAAGGTGACTCAAAAGCTTTTACATTAATTTTTAATATGTTTCATAAATAAACAGAGATACAGTGACCCATCTTTGTTTAGAGACTTGAATCACAAATAAAGTCATTGACCTTATTCGTAAAATAAATAAAAGAAATAAAATGGTGTAAAGGATAAAACATTATCAGTTCGAATTGAATATGTATGCTACGGCATTGAAGTAGTAACCATTGTTATCTGTAGAATAATGAGGATAGAAAATAAATAAATGGCTGCATCGTTACGTCACTGCTTAAAATATTTTAATGTGTGACAAATATTCCAAGAACCTTTATTGTCCTTGTTATATAATGACATTCATGGTATGACCAAATCCTTTACTAAATTATTATATATCTTTTTCCCTTTTTGGTATTTTTCTATCCATTTTCTTATTGGAATTATGAGCCAGTTTATAATTGTAGTACACAAAAACTGTAAACAAGATACTTCTTACAATTAAGATAGTTTTAACAAGGACTAATGTCCAATAACAATAAGAGTCTATAAATGTATTATTCAATTTATAAATGAACAGCCCCAATCATAATTTCAAAAATAAATATTAATGAGTATTCTGATGAACCATTAGCTGCTATTATTATCATATTAACAGCTTAATTTGTCCTACTGTCCATGCTGAGTCATTTGACGAATATGTGCATTCATAGGCCTTATATTAGAAAATGTTTTTTCTGATATTTGAATGAAGTTGGTTAAAAAAAGAAAATAAGAATTTAGTGTCTTCCCCATAGACACAGTAAGACAAGTTTTAATAAACATTCTTTTAGGGTCAATTTATCAATGCCAGTTCACTTTATCAGAGGAATAATTATGACATTTTTTATTCAAAATAATGTCAATTCTTCCATACAAAATAATTACTGACGTCAATTTTATTCCACGAATAGAAATTCATTGTTGATTGATAAATCGGCCCTTCATAATACCAAAATTAGAATTTATAAAATTAACAACAAGTTACTTATTGGTTGATAAACTAGACTTTAAACTGTCAAACACCAAGCGGTCACCGGTGACCGCAACCTATTGTTCTTTAATTGTGTCTATAAATATGGTTAATTAAAATGTCAATGGTTTCCTTGGAAAAATTTGTCATTTAAGCAATTATTGGAAAAATGGAATAAGTCCAGTCATCATCATAATTATAATTATTAGTCACACGACATGACATTATATTTGCATGTTTAAGCACCATAACTAGGGCAATGTAACTTTTAGAAATCTCTCTTTACTAAGGTGCCAACATAAGGTATAATTTTAAAAACATCCCCAACATCCAGGTGTCCATGGGCGGTGCTGATTGCTTACCATCAGGTGATCCGTACTTTTGTTTGTCTCCTATTCCATTAAATAAAAACAGTGTACCAGGCACATAATGCCTAATTACAGCACTAAGTTCTTTTAACTCACCCAAAAGCATTTTTGATGACATCCTCAGGATCTGTTCCCTGCAGACGCTCACCAAAGAGTGTCAAGAACATGGTGAAGTTAATAGGACCAGGAGCCTCATTCATCATGCCTTCCAAGTAATCCTCAGTCGGGTTTTTACCTAAAATAAATGATTATATTCAATTAAACTTTCTTATGTGAATTAGTGATTAATAATGTTCTTACTAGAAATAGTGGAACAACTCTTATAATTATGTGTGATATTGACTAACCAAAATGTTTCGTTGTTAATTTGTTCATTCTCTTAACATATATACCTACATTGGCTATTATCTCCAATAAGTACAGAATTTACTAATAAAGAAACTTCTTATCCTTACCAAGAGAAGCCAACATATCATGCAGGTCATCTTTGTCTACAAATCCATCCCTGTTCTGATCAATCATGTTGAATGCTTCTTTGAACTCAGCAATCTGTGCCTGGTCAAACATAGCAAAGACATTGGAAGTGGCACGCTGGGCACGCTTCTTGTTGGTGCCACGGCGACCAGCTGTCTTGCGGGACGACATTGTGCTATCTGGAAACAGAATATAACATTTATATGACAGACTGACCAGATGGCCATACATACAAGAGAATGCACATGACTCACAATTTTTTGAACTTAGACCAAAATAAATACACAAGTGTTTACGACAAAACTCAAATTAGATAAATAACTTCCTTTTACAACATCAACGCTGATAAGGCAGGTAGCGAACGTAACACTGATCGCTTTTCACAAAAATCCAAAAAGTTACTTGTATAGTTTATAAATATAATTTAACGAAGGCAAGGCGTCACTCAGCTTGTCGTCAGTTTCGTGCGCTAACGAGAAAGTGACTCACTGCCAAAAACCGCCTTCCAGTATTAGTAACGAAGTTTATCTAGGGCACACACTCCAAGGAGGCAAGGACTTCCATAAATGGACATACATTTACCACTTAACATCTGCTAAGAAACAAGTAAATGAAAAAGTTATTCAGATATCTAATACGACTTACTTGTATTTTTATATTCAACACAACAATAAAATAACGGTCTGAAACCGAATAAAAACGATTTTTTCTTATATATTTTATTCGACGATGACTAATTTATTTGACGTGACGTCAGGTGTGTACAGCGTCCATTCGAAAACCTACTCTTTTTAATGTAATTATAGAATTAAGTTATCAATGTGATTAATATAGAGTTAATCAGAAACTACCTTTTAGTTTTCTGTACGGTAACAGTTCATTATGATTCAATAATATAGGGATTTTGCCATTTTTATATATTAATAAAAAGCTGCATGCTCAATTTGGAACTTTGGAGACCTAAAAATTGTTTAAAGATTATATGTTTGGAATGTGTATTCTGTATTGCCATTTAGTGGAAATATTATGAAAGATAAATGGATAAACTGATCAAGAATGTCTAAATTTTAAATTAAAAAGTTACAAATTTCTTATCCTATTATAGTCTTATCTTGCAATTATATACCTAATTTTAAAATATATTTAGCAATATGCATACCTTTTTCACAGATTACATAATATTCTTTTATTGACTTTTGACGTAAGATTTTCCTACCAAAATGTCATAAACAGTTCCAAAATTCAACTAAATTCTGTCTGGTTTATTCTTAATTTATATATTTTTTAATGCCTTATAATATTTAATTTAATTTATTATATCAAAATCTTTGTTGCTCAGGTTAGTAAGTAAATAAATCTGCAATGTGAGATCGCAGTTCCAATAATTTGTTTAAAGATGTTGACTCAAAACTGAAGACTACTGTCTTATTTTATATTTTTTAGAAGATGCTCATCCATATTACACCAAAGCTACATGGCGTAGTACGGTCGCTAAGCACGCCGTCACGATATTTCGCCAGCAGTAGCAGTAACCACTATGACGTTCTTGGAATTACTCCTAATGCGACACAGAATGACATCAAATCCGCTTACTACAAACTATCGAAAGTATACCATCCAGACAAGTCTAGCGTGAGTATTTCTGATCTACAACTTAAATAAAACAAAAACATGTCAAATAAATATTGATTATGCGGCTTTTTCAGGATGAAACATCAGCCAAAAAGTTTAGAGCCATTACTGAAGCCTATGAGGTATTAGGAAATGTTAAATTAAAAAAGATGTATGATAAAGGTTGGTTTCCATCGTTAGGCAATTATTAGTCTCATTAAATATCATACTAGATCATTTTGAAACATGTAAACTTACAAGCTTTAATACCTTTTATGTTATTTTGCAAAGAGTCTTCAACCTTTAATCATCAATTTGAACATTCACATTCAACCTCCTTTTTGTCATGTGATAAAAAAAATACATAATTAATATTTCAGGGTTGCTAGGTGCGAGAGGGAGATCCAGAGTGACTAATTATGAGCCAGACCCTGAGCCGACAGATCCTACGCTCAAGTTCTATAAATCTCGTACATACCGTAAGGTGGTGCCCACAATGGATGGTAGACGACCTATTTATGACTTTGATGCTTGGTATGTAAACACGCTGAATGAATATTCTTATAACCACATTTTATCAAATGGTAACAGTATAAAAATACTTTTTATTTTCAGGTCTAAAAACCATTATGGAGATTTATTTGAAAAATCAAAATATGATAAAGAGTTTATAAAAAAGAAGCAAGAAAAACAATTAGATTCTGAACTATCAAATAAACAAGAAATGTTTATGTTTGTAATGGTCGGTCTAGGAGGCCTGTTTCTATTTTTGGTAGGTCAAGGCCAGCCAGATTATGATAAGGATAGAATTTCACATGATAAAAATGATACACAGACAAATAATTAAATCTATCAATATAGCAACAGCTCTTTTGTCTTTGTAGACCTTTCTTAGTAAATTTTCAGTTAGGTTTAATAGAAAATTAAGTACCTATTGTGAAATTTTATACCATTTGCCCCTCAAACATTGACTGTCCGCACTGGGGTTTACAAGTGAATGTGTTCTTTGAATCCCTGTATTTATACTATTCCTGGTCTCCTGGATGATAAGAATTTTACCTATGTCAATGTTTGAAGGGCTAAAATAGAATTCACATAATATATTTTTTCATGTCTTGTAAATACTGTACATAACTAATTTAACGACAATGACATTTAGTTGTTGTAGTAAAATAAAACAACATTAAAAAAAATAATTCAGTTAATGGTTCTTTTCTTTTAATTTTTTACTTTTCATTATTCCAGTCAAACCAAAATACACTTTTTTTAATAAATCAAAATTGTCTTTGGAGCAAAGAAACGGAACCTACCTAGAAACTACCTAGCGTTTTTTTTTTCATTTCTTGGTAAATGTTTTCTGATACCTAAGTATTTTATTTGATTTTATTCAATGGTGGTCAGGTAAAGAGTAACGTAATAATATTACGTTACTCTTTTATGGTTACCTCTAGTAACTGAGGCAATTTAGTTACCTCTAGTAACTAAATTGCCTCTAGTAACTAAATTGCCTCAGTTACTAGAGGTAACTAAATGGGGATGATGACAGGGTATGAAAATTAAAAATATAATTAGTCCGTAAGTTAGGTAATGAAAAAATATTAGACACGTATTTTTTTATTTTGTCGTATAATAAAACAATACTTAGATAAAACGAATCAAAGTTTAGGAGTGGGGGCTAAAACGTCATTTCTTAGTATAAAATGTACTGAGAAGTGACGTCACGCGACATTTCAAATCAATATATCTTCGAAACTATTCGTTTCTGTGAGAAAAGAAAAATGACGTGTCTAATGTTTTTCAATAATCTACCAGACGGACATTAAAATAAAAATTAGTCGTCTACCCTATTGCCTCTGAGATGATGATAATGATGACGAACTGAGATGATGATCATTTTGTTCATTTTTTTATATTTATTTTTTTAGATAAGGAACTCAATAAAATTAGAAAGATTCATGACTCTATTTTTTTACTCCCAAGTTTAAGGGACAGTGACCGGAGTACCGAGTATAATATGTATAGGGGAAACAGCCAGGGTCGTTAAAAAGGGGTTGGATTATATACGCCGATGGATATTTGAAGGTACCTTAAGGCCCTGAGAGAATTAACATAATTTTGTAGAGCTAGTAGCTAGGTACCCACACAAAATATATATAAATCTGCGCAATCTTGGTTGGTTACAAGGGAGTGCCAGCCGCCAGGGTTGGTAATATTTATTGTACACAGTCCACACAGCTCATGACGTCTCTGCCTATCCCTGACAGGTTTATTTCTAATATGGTTCAATTATGACTGCGTAGGGTATATTAGGTATTAAAAAAATTAAAGTTATTTAATAAACATCACCATATTTAATGCCATAGACCATAGTTTCAACTTTATTAGACACATCTATGCCCTGTGGTCATCATTCATAGACAAAGTTTTTTTTAATCTTTGTCAATCCTTGTCTTTGTTTGGGTCTCACTGTCTCTTCTAGCTGTCTCTGTGTGTCAATTTTAGTGGAGTCGTAAAAATTGTGTGTTAATATTTTTGCACTAGGATTTCTGATTAAAAATTTATTCGTTATCCAACGATTTCCTAGTGATTTAGCTGGAACATTCATTTAAATTATAATAAAAATATTGTGTAGTATACTTGAAGAATGGATTGCCTTGTGGGATACGGTAGCGACGATGAGAATGAGTCTGAACGCTATGGAAGCCAACAACCATTGGTAAGTTTTGGCGTCCTTGACAAATATTTCTGCTTTATAATCGCATATGTTTCACGATAAGACCATTTGTAATGTTTATTGATGCAATATTTATGAGAATCATGGATATTAACCTGCGTTCTCTGCTTGACAATAGAATGGTATTATAGGTGGGAGCGGGTGGCGCTGGTGCCCGCCGCAGAGACGACGACACCAACTACGATGACGTCAACATGGACATGAGCGAGGTAACTGTCGCCTATGATCGTCCCCCAGCATACCATATTATGCTAGTTCAGTAGTGGCTCCAGTCAGCTACTCTTGATATCTTGTCATCTGACCAGGGCCAAGTGTTCTTCACTTCTATAGTTTTTCTTATATGTAATGAGGCTTACCTAGAGATAAATGATAACTAAGTAGTATATTCTTCATTTATATTCAGGCATAAGGCCGATATCCGTCACAACATTAAAATAATCTTACTTTTCATTAGAGTAACTAAATAATATCATATAGTACACTTTATATAAATAGAGTTCAAGTAAAATAAATAAATAAAAAAGCAACTTTGCATTATGCTGTTTTCAACGATGATATTAACACTTTTATTATTTTATATGTTACCCATTTGTAAATTGACACAAAACAAAAGTCAAATACCCCTTGAGTACGTGCCGAGGCTACAAGATGACCGACCGAGTCCGTGCACACTGCAACCCTTTAACTTCAGGCTCACGTGAGTACATAGATGTAAGATAACCCAAAATCTCAGACGTCATTAATTAATCACATTCCAATATTAAGTCTCCTAGACGTGAATGAAATAAATCTTTAATATTGTCCACTGGATTTATATTTATTGTAGACTTTTGTAAAATTTTACTGTTAGATATTGCTTTTTTGTCTATATTGAATTGATATCAATATAGTTTGACTGCACTGTACTATGTCTTAGCTAAGCACTCTGAACTTTAGAGCGTGTTCATCCGTACTCAATACTATCTATGTATCAACCTTTTTGAGAATATATGCTCTATGTTTTTCAGCCCCAATTTTACCGCATATACCTAAGGCACAGTACAGTGGTATTGGTTGAACTAAATAATATTTATTCCAACCATAAAGTTATTCTGTTTTTTTTTAAATGTATTAATTGTCATTATCTTTATGTTAGATTTTGACAAGATAACGAAAAGAGGTTTCATTTCTGTGCATAATGACCTCATATAATTTTGGTATTAGTGTTAATTGTATTAATTAATATCTAAATAGTATCTATTATTATTATTTTGCTGCTTGTTTTCAAGACTGGTTTCTTCTAATTAAAATTGAAGTTATGTTAAAAATCAGGAGTATTAAAGCTCCATGCATTTTGGGATTAAACAGGTAATTTTCGAAAACACATTTAGGTTGATATGAGATATTATAACAAGACAAAATTAGTTTTAAGTAAGAAAAAAACGATAATATTCTACAGGTCTATTTCATAAAATATGATTAAGTTACTGTTAGCTTAATTAATTACATATTTCATGTGGAATATGTATCGGTTCGACTGACATAAACTTAGATATTGTGAGACTAACCCTCAGTGCATACATTTAAGCAGGAATAGGTGTTTATGGTGAATTATTACCTGCAAGAAATGTGTTGCCAACATTTATGACAAGACTGCATGGAGATGTGAATATCTGTCTCCATTTTAATGGTTCATCTGCAACACTACAATGTCACTTTCCACCATATTCTTAAACAAAGTGATTGGTTAGAAAGTAACTTAAGCTTTTGTGTCATGGGGGTAAAAATAATTTACTTCATTTTATTTGTTTGGATACATAATTATTATGTATTACAGTGGTAAGTTCAAATTGAATAAAATAATGATAAAAAGTAAATGTTCAGGGTGTGACTTAATGTTACATCTTAATTCGAAGACAACAAAGTTATCATAGTGCCTTTTGATCATTGACTTCAGGGATTTCCTGTATATTTCCAGTTGTTGTCATTCCTTTATTTCAGGGACATCCTGTAGGTACTTATTGTTAGTACATAAATAAGCACAAATACCGATAAATAAAATACGGGAGTTTTTTGAAATGTATACTAGTACTTATCGCTCATAAAGGTGTTATTTATATCAATGACGCAGGTATAAAATCACGATTACAGTACATCTGTTGAAATCGTAACTTTATCAATAATAACTCTAAATAATGAGTAACCCCTAAAGGATTCTGTTGCGTCGTGGTTGATAAAAACGCAATTTCCCATACACATATCACCCAGACCCGGAATAAATGGGTCTTATAAAGAATTCTTCTGCTGCTGGCCTGAAGCCGGTCACCTAGTCACTGCGCCAACTGTCAATCATTTTAAGAGTCCTCAACATTTATATTTTTTAGTATTATTTATATTTATGAATTATTGTGCTTTCATTGCATTTGTTCATCCTTGTTTCAGACTTAAGAAGTCTATTATCGATTTAAATAATTTAATAAACTATTATAATTTAATCAAATCTAAACCTAACTATAAATCTAATTTGAATTCTGAATTAGATTATAAAGTAGGTACATACTGTTGTCAGAACAAGACAAACATATTCTTATAAAATACGAAAGCCAAAATAAGTCTATGATTAACATCATCATCATAATAGCTGGTTTTAACTGAATCACATTTTGAATGACAAATACCGTGTTTGACACAAGTCTACGTATATACAGCGCGATATAATTTTATGTAAGTGTGTTGTATCTTGTCGCAGGATTCTCAGGACGAGTCGGAGCCGGAGTTGCCGCCTGCTGAGCCGACGCCACCTCCACAGTCATCTCGCGAGGAACGGTCTTCCAGTAAGTTCATAGTATAACATAACACGCTTCTGTCAACGGCTTCCCCCGCGTGCTAACTGTAGAGTAGCTGGGGTAAAAAGTAGCCTTTGTGTTATTCCAGATAATATATCTCTGTGTCCAAGAGTAACAAGTTTTGCGTGAAAGAGCAACACGCCATCCATGATTACACACATCAGAAACTTTCGCAATTATAATATTAGTTGAATGATAATAACAATGTTATCTCGTTGGTAGAGTGATTGAAGGTGCGACTACCGAGCGTGTTCGACGATCAACACGAAACTTCCTATTCACGAAAATAAATAAATAAAATAAACAATATTATAATCATACTGTAACTTTACCACTACTGGGGTTCACACAAAGAAATAATGAGCATTTAACCACGCTTGTTCAAAGCGGATTGGCGATATCAAACTTATAATTAGAAATTATAAACCGACAGCATACAATTAAGGATTAAAAAGGCTCCCGAGCAATGAAACTATTACTAGATTACCATTACGTATAAAATTAAAAATAAATTTATTTAACCACGAAATTAAAAAAAAAATTAACGTCAATGCTACTTCAAATTATTTTACAAACTCCTGAACTACATATTTTATAACTGCACGGTCGTAAAATTTATGATAGACAATAAAAAAATATTTATTTCTTGACTACCGGTAGAGAATGAAATAGTAAATATTTTGCACTTAAAACTGAGTATCTAATTAGATCTGGTTTCTGAAATTTTTATGAAGTAACTGTATTTACAGTTATATTTTCTCGTATGAATGAAACTATGTAATCATATTATTTACACTTATGCATGCATGAGGGCTGCTAATGACATACAGATTACGAAAAAGATCCCTACAGTAAAGTGTCTTAATTCGAAGTCAAAGGTATTACAATAAAAAGTTAAAAAATTTCATAAGTATGCTGGAACATCAAGGGTTTCTCCAAAGGAATAGACGTGAACACATCACTCTTTATTTTAAATCTATTTTGAACTAGCTGCTTCTACGCTGTTTCACCCGCTGTGTGGGTCCTCTGGAACGAAATAAGCTGTCTGTAGCCTTTCTCGATACATGGACTATCTAATATGAAAATAATTGGGTAGTTGCCAGGGTATCAAAATTAAAAATCTAATTAGTCCGTCAGATAATGAAAAAATATTAGACACGTATTTTTTTATTCTCGTATTAAGTTGCAATAGAGTGGGAGGTTGTTACGTCATAACGTGCAACAAAATGTGGCACGCTGTGACGTCACACGATATTTCAAGTTGATATAATTATCGTCGAAAGTATTTAATTTTGTGAGAAAAGAAAAAATACATTAAAGTTTTAAATTAATGTACCAGACGAACATAAAATAAAATTTAGGAAACTACCCTATTACTCAATTCGAACCAGAGTTAAGGAGGTTAGCGCGTCCAATCAAAGAAACTCTTAGCTTTATGATATTATAGTATAGATAGATTTTAGATAAGACAGGTCTTTTGTTCACTACAACAGTTCTATGCAATCTGATTCTAGTCATTTCTTGAAATACCTGTGCAATCTGTGAAATACCAATTTTATATTTTTATTACTCAAGTCTCGAATGAGGCTGTGTGATAAGGAACGTAAACATTGCTTTCTATGTGACTTATATGTATATTTTAGATTTCTACAAACCTGGGGATAATGTAAAGAACACAAAAATGATTATTCTAGAAAATCTTTGAGACAATTAGTATACATTTGCTTCCATACGACACAATTTCAGAGGTTGTGTCGTTATTTTGCCTCTATTATGAGATTCTTTGATTATGTCGTCCCGCATACAACCTTAACGTGTTCTTGTTAATTAGTAATATGAAATTATCGCTTTGTCTCGTGAGGTTGCGCTTAACACTCATTCATTACAACAATCTTTGTACATTTTGAATTATAATTATTTATAGCATAGTTTGATTAAATATGTCCATGTAATGTGGCATAAAGAAGCTAATAACATTTCAAAACAATATTGTGTTATAGCTAATTAGTTAAATTCAATATTTTTCCATCAACAGATGACAATCGTGAACGCGAAAGGGAACGCGATCGCGACCGCGGTGACCGTGAGTTCGACCGCCGTGACAGACGTCGCGAGTCACCCGCGCGACCGCGCGACAGAGAACGCTCTGACAGGCGTTCTCCGCGTAGAGATGATAAATACAGGTAAATATCATCAACAGCCTATAAGTACCCACCGCTGAGAAAATATCTATACGATGAAGGTATGAGTATTAATCACCATACTTGCTCAAAGTGAATTGGCGATTTTAAACTGATAATCATAGTCTGAAAGTAGTGTATAAACAATGTTCCTCCCATCACAGGTCAGATCGCGAGCGTGATCGCGGACGCCCGAACGACGGCATCCGTCGCGGTCTTCTGGGAGATCGCCCCGACGACCGCGAGAAAGTTCCTTCCCTGCTGGACGTGAAACCATATGGCTGTGAAATCCCACCACCGATGGACAGGAGATCACATGATGCCAGAGATGCTGTGTCTCCCAGGTAAAGAATTTAAATGTTAAATGACTAACCACCATACGCGAGACTTATTTCATATTACTTAACCTAATCCTTAGTTTCTTATCAATTGTTTCCGGAACAAAATCGTTACTAAGGAAATGTTTAAATAATCATTAACTCGTCGAGTACCGGTTTTATAGACACAATTAAAGAACAATAGGTCGCGGTCACCGGTGACCGCTTGGTGTTTGACAGTTTAATTGTTTTTGAGTATGGAAGTTCTAGTTAAAACTATTCCAATATATCATTACAGACACTTAGAAACATCAAATAAATTATTCCCTATCGAGTCTGCTATTGAAACTTGGTGTCCATTCAATACATAGGAAAAAAACAAACGAAAATCTCCATCTTCACCCTTTAATTTTAACAAGCGTATTGTTATTATTACAAGTTTCATTGCTATTATATTGTTTATACTTTATAGTTAAGTTATAAAAGTGATTTGCCTCTTTCTTCCTATTATATTTGCAACATATTTCTTTGTTTCAGATTCATAGACCGCGAACGCCGCGATAAAGAAAGGGACAGGGAACGCGAGCGTGACAGAGACCGCCACAGCAGGCGTTCAGAGGAAAGACGGTAAGATGCCATACTGTCACTATGTTTCTATTTTCTAAATGTTAAATTATTGCTCATTTTTAGCAAACAAATTATTTTTTTTCTGCTTAGTAATCATGACCATTTTATGTAAAATTGCATATTCATTATAAAGATAAAAGACTATCAAAGTCTTACAGATAAAACCAACCTGTGTAATATCTTGTATATTCAATATGATGCATGAATAACTGTTTTCTGCCAGGGGTATCGCCCGCGTCTCTGGAATAAAAACAATGTGTTATTCTAGACTACCTCATCCACATGTACCCAGTAGCTTTGTCGTGAAAGATTCCCTAACATAAATCCTCGCAAACTTTCGTTAAGTAAATTTATTTATTTTATGATGTAGGTCTTCAAGCCACAGACACGAGCGTCGTGACCGTTCCCGCTCGTCGTCCCGCGGTGCTCAGTACGGTCCCGGCCACAGCTCGGACAGACGGTCCTCCCCACCGGGAGGAGACTACAGACCCTCCTCTTACAAAGTCAACAGAAAACTTGAAGTCATGGAAAAGATGGGTTAGTTAGTATTCAAAGTCGATTAGTGGTAGTAGTATTGAAAGCGCCGGTTCTCGTCTGATAACTGAAGTTAAGCATACAGCGTACATCGGGCGCGGTTAGTACTTGGATGGTGATCCACCTGGGAATACAGCCTTTACGGAGCCGCGGATAGGCCACTGTTTTGCCAAGGCTCCGGCTCGAAGAGCAGGAGTAGGAACAGGGTAGTTTTTAGCCAGTAAGAGTGACATTACCTCTTGCCTAACCCAAGGAGGGAGAAGTCATTGTATGATTTTCCCTCCTCAAAAAATCCATATATAACAAGTATAAACTGACCGCTGAATATGAGGAAAGATCATACTAAGAGAGGCAATGATAAATTGGTTTTGTTTAGCTTGAGTGGTAGCCGTGTGTACAAAAGCCTGCATGTCAAGCTACTCTGTCTATTCTATTGAAAGATTGGAGTAAATTGATTGTTTGTTTTATTATGCTTTTCTATTACAAATTTTATATCGCAATATAAAAACTGTAAACTTGAGTGTTGTATAATGTTTATTCTGAATTTTTAGACTATCGTAATGTTTTTATCTCACAAGTCACTCACTTTATCACAAAGGTCTACAAATCAAGACGCCGGACGGTTCAATGGCGACTGCACAGCAATTGCGCGCGGCCGCCAGCGAGGTCCCGACCCAGGGGTCCCACCTCCCTTCATACTACAACCCTACTGCTGTCAATGCTAATAAAATTATGGATCAGGTGTGTTACCACTTTATACTTATCATTTTTAAGTCTTCAATGCTTAAAGGCACATAAAAGAAGCTGTCTGGATTTATTTTCCATTTAACTTTGAAAATGCTGAGAAAATTCAGGAAAGCACAAACAGAAATTAACGAATCACAGTTACGAAACTGTATTAGTGGCAGCTACTGTAATGTAGAAACATTATGATATGATGTTATGACCACTTTTTGATTTTCGAAATCAAATTTCTGCATTTGTCATCTAAATAAATTATTATGTTTTCGGCTTATTCACGTAATAATTTGACGAGGAACTCGACTAGTTTCAAGCGATGCTAAAGGCTCGTATTCATGAACAGCATTTCGCGACCCGCGACGCGGCCACTGTCGCGCTGCTACTGACGAAAGTTACAATACAAATATTTGTCATCTAGTTAAATAATATAATAAAGGGAAATCATTTAAGACATACTTTTAAACTAAAATCTCAATTGTGTAACAGGTACAAAAGCGCAAGTTGTTGTGGTCAAACAAAAATAAATCAGAGGCTGAAGAGGCTGCCAAGTGGAGTGGCACTCGGTTCGCACAGGACTCGGACGGGAAACAGGTGTCCAAGTTCATGAGACTCATGGGCATCAAGGAACCAGGTAAATATACGAGTTATAAGATGTTTTTTTTGCGTTTGATTACAAACATATTTCATGCACACTGAAAATTTACACAGGCAGATTTATTATCATAACATTTTTCAGTGTGGTACAAAGATGACATTGGACTAGTATCATTGAAAGTGAAACAAATGTTCAATATGTGCTACATACAATTATAATAACAGTTTATAATTCACTAGCGACCCGCCCCGGCTTCGCACGGGTGCAATACACATGTATTATACATATAAAGCTTCCTTAAAAATCACTATCTATTTAAAAAAACCGCATCAAAATCCGACGCGTAGTTTTAAATATCTAAGTATACATAGGGACGGACAGACGGCGGATAGCGACTTTGTTTTATACTATGTAGTGATACTAATTCTAAATTTCCTTTACACAGCTGCCGTTAAAAACGAGGCTCCAGAAAAAGCAGTGGACCCAATCAAAAAGCAGGAAGAACTGTTCCAAGCGATGCAAGCTCAATACGAAGTGGCCAGGGCTACCACACACACCATGCGGGGCGTGGGACTCGGGTTCCAACGAGGACAGTACTAGCGCCAGTGGGGGCCTAGCGGCGGCTGCATGGCGAACAGATAGCGTTAGTCCATGTCTACTGAGACATATGTTGGTAAACTTTGCCTCAAGATAGCCTGGGACATAGCTCCCAATTGGTTTACGTCCCTCAAAAGGGGTGGACAATCTACTTGCCTATAGTACACCCATAATTCAAGCACCTGACTGGTGTTCTACAAAGAAATTGTTGATTAGATGCCAAGATATAAGTAAATGTAACATGTGTGTGCTTGCAAGGCTAACGCGCGAATACTGAAATGCTACTTCATTTAAGTGGTACTTAAATATCGTGCTATCTCTGTTTTATAAAGTACTTGTAGCGACAGAAATACTTTCAAGAGTATTCGTAAATTTAGTGGCGTTTGAGTATTTGAAGATAGTAAGATACGTCACCTCTTCAGCCTGACACACTGATTGTGTGATAACAATAATTTTATACAGCTTTCTTTCCCATTTCTAGTGTAAGCTACTGTGTAATTTCTTATTGTTCTATTTTACTTTGTGTGCATTGTGTTTCAGGCATTTTTTTGTGTACAAATTATTTCCAATGTAAATACAATAGTGCCACTGTTATGTGTACTAGCTATGGTTGTAGAAATATTCAATCATTTGTTCATCTATTGGTCTTATGAATTTAAAACTTATGGTATTTTCATACTAAAGTATGATGATGGATAGGGGAATTGGAAATGAGGATTTATGGGATAGTGTTGTCTTTCAAAACATTAGATATTCACTATGTAGAGATTAGAATGGCTACAGCATGTAGAGAGTAATCCAGTTCACACTGGTTTGGTATTACTGGAGTTGTATTTTGGAAGGACATCATTTAAGATCACACTTTAATAGCTTTAATAAAACACAAGGAAATGTAAATTATATCCATAAAGATACAAAAATGTCCATAAAATTAGTGAAAATATTAAGATGTTACTAATCATTGGAAATTAGATTTAAAAATTGTAAATAGCCATGACATGGTATTGTGAGTAAGCTGTCTCCAATATAATACGACGAGTATAACGCGGCGAGATGATTTATATTTTTAAAATATATTTAGATACAAATGCGTCACGCGAATCGCGTGGGTTGAGTCAGCGGAGAGATTCGCATATTATAATGTGGAGTTTTATATAGCTGTTCCTAAAACTTTAGGAAAAACGAACGAAGCAAATGTAAATAACTATTTTCCAGTTATAACTTGCTTACAAACGTTTCAAATAGCTATAGTAACTCGGTTTAAGTTAAGTTCTAGTTTAACTGCTACGTGTGATATAATGTTATTCAATTAACTAGTAATAACGAAGGTAATAAACAATGTATGGGTAACTTTTATCCATTGAGATCTTCCTCTATGTTCCTAAGTTTATTGAAATAGTAATAGCTTGCATTAAGTAGTTTAGTGGTCTTTTTAGTAATTATCCGTACACTGTTTATTATTTTTGTTGTTGTTTAAGTAAATAAACTATTACGATAAAATTGGTGCTTTTATTCAACATTTTTGTATGAAACCTCTATCGGTGTTTGTTCTATTGCTAACTTCATGTTGTTAGTTACAAAGATTTATGACACACCTTGTAAGGGTCGTATTAGACTGAACTGGCGCGTAGCGTTTATTCAACGGGTTTCAAGCGTTCAATAAAAAAAGTCAGAAGTGAGAATAACTAATAGTAAATGCCAGGTGAAGGTTTTTAATCGTTTTTTTTTTTAATACTTCTGAACGGTTTCACTTGTTGCTCTACTTCTATTCATCACAGTGTGTTGTTTAATAACCTACAGCTATCTTCAATAAATTGACTATCCAACAAAAAAATAATAATATACGTACTTTATTAGAATCTATAGTTTCTGAGATTAGCATATTCAAACAAACAAACTAGCTTTTATTATATTAGTATAGGTCACATTACTTTTAGATTGAACTTATAATGTTTCATAATATTAAACGTATGTAAAGATTCCTTCATAATTCACATGAAATCAAAATCATATTGTATTATTTTGTAATACAATTAAGGTCATCACACACCAAACAAGTACGGCTCCAACCCACCAATTAATTTGTCATTTATATATGAACTTTAAATGGTATCTCGTATGATATTTTTCACAAATTCAATACAAAAAGCCGACGGCGGGTGGTAAGCGCTCGGTCCTCTCGAGTTGTAGTTGAGGCGCCGCTGCGGCTCTTATTGCACGCCGCTAGCGAGCCAGCCCACCAGGCGCTAGCGAAACAACTCCGCATCGTAGGTAGGTATTGTTGACTATATTCGTGGTGACAAAAAGCTTCAACCTTGCATCGGGCGACGCGGTGGTGCGGTTCCACCTCGAGACCGGCGCGCTTACAACTCGCAGCCGAAGCGCGCTGGCGGCTAACGGTAGGCAAACTCGAAACAATGCCGCGCCGGAGCCGTGCTTATTAGATATGCGATTAACTCGAGTAATATTATCCAGCTCGTGTGGAAGAGTCTTTATAGGTAATTCATCGATATTGTAATAAAAATGTGATAGGGCATCACTAGCAAAGATTTTATTTATCATCTGTTGCTGTCAGTCGGCGGGCCTGTCATAAACGCGAGTGAAGTTGGTTGCGTTAATATTATCTTATTAGTCTGTGGTTATGGGATTCACCGCAAAGTGTTCACGAAAAATGTTTTTATTTCAAATCAGTAGATAAAGCTAAATTATAAATTACCGAGCATTCAACAGTTGATATCCAGCTACCGCCGCAAAAGTGCGAAATAATAATTAAAACGGTACAAACTGTGAATTAGGTTACATTGCAATTGAATCAGTGCGTATGTAAAGCGAAATAATTATAAATTAAAAGATGAATCCGGAACCAGAAGGCGAGACCAAACTGTGTGAGAATTGGTAAGTGTTATTGTGTAAATGCGTGTTATGTTGTCAATATTAGTTCTATTTTAGAGTACACACGTTAGCCGGCTATTTTTAGATTATTTGGAGCATTGCGAACATCGCAGCTGTCCCGAGTTGCTTGTTGTTTACCTTACATCCAAATTATTGTTATGAAAAACTTCCTTACGCTCGATGTTTATTTGTTTTCTCCAAGGAGGTTGTATTCGTTAATTTAGAGTAAAAGCTGATTAATTATTTAGTCTGTTGTATATTAATGGTTTTACTTTTAATGTTAAGGGTCGTTGCTCTTTTGTGACCTATTTTGACCTAGGCGACCTATATTACAGGGCTACAAAATCAATTTATGCACTCGGCGGGGATGAATTCCGGGAACTGACTGGGCCTCGGAGCTCTGCGATCGTTTTATAGAACTCCGTAGTACATAGGTATCAAAGTACCAAATATAAAGCCTTATTTCGTAAAGGCTGTTTGTTATTGAACATTTTATTTTTGCCACTGCTTAGCACTAGCACTTAAGTAGTTCTACCTTGCATATTTAAATACATAGTAATAGGTACTCATTCAAGTAGTTTCTCATTATGAATTAAAAATACACTCCTACCTACTTACATACATATCGTATAAAAATATGAGATGCACAATGCACACAGCTCATTTAAATAATATCTAGGTATCTAAGCTTTAAGTGTCTACTAAATGGTTAGGTATAATAGAAATACGTAATATACCTAGGCAGGTAAGTACATATTTCCGCTTTTAAATTGCGTTAGAACTAGCACTTATTTCATTTGAATTCACACACGTAATTTTTTACCGTCGTACTTGTTTCCATCATGATTAGAGTCGGTGCTACATAGTCCACGGCCATCGCATTATAATTTTATTTTATACAAGAATAATCTAGTACTAATACTTACCTAATTAAACTTATCTAGATACTTTAGATATTTGTAAATGCGACATGAAACTCGCGACAAATTAGATGTAGGTACTTGCATAGATTACTTAATAGTTACTACGTAAGTACTGGCGCAGATCAATCTACTCTAATTTGTAATTTGTTTTCTTAGATTATCGACTCTGTACTATGGAGATAAAGTTAAAAATGCGTTTCAAAGAGTGGTATAGGTTGATGTACTGGCATGTAAACGAATCAGTTTTTGGCTGCGTCATCGTACTTTGATGTTTACTTATAAGTATGTACAGCTCAATAAGACGCGGATGTCAGTTTCGTCCAACAATTATTTAGGGGTCTGATATACCTATTCATACTTGCCTATAAAAATAATAATCTGTATTATATTTTTATAACGTCATTGCAATTGTATTTACTTATCTTGAAAAGTCTTATTATCCTTGATTGCACTGTTCGATAGGTATGAGCTGGCTGTATAAAATCGCGATTTGCAATTTTAAGGTCTCGTTTTGTGTTCGATGATTAGATTGCAACAATTGCAACATTAATTAGTTTTTAAGACTTCACACGCTACGGTTGCCGCGTAGTTACCCGGTTTTTTTGTTGTGTTGTTTTTTTTGTATTAAGCTGAGCTCCAGCCTTTTGCGCTACGACGCACCATAGGCTATTTTTTGGGTTTCTCGATTCTTGTTGTGTGTCGTAGCAAAATAAATGGTTTTTCTTTCTTTCTTTCTTTTCTTCTTTCTTTCTTTTCCGCCCTGGGTGAGGCCAAAGGGAACGTCAGACTGGCCCTTATAAAATCCAACCCGTCCCAAGTCCTGCTTCGAGCCGGAGCCGCGGTCACCCATAAGGTTCACAGCCTTTGTGCCGATTTTCAGCGGCAAAGAATGAAAGGAGTAATAAATAAATAAAAATAATTAAACATTTTAATAGACACATTTCCAACTTTATTTCGGAATGAGGTTCAATATGTAGCTAAAATCTAATATAGGTAACGAAAATTATGAATCATCATCTACACAATCACCTACAGTTGGGTTAATGTTACATCTTAGCTCTCAGTGCTCGTAACTTCAATATAAAAATGATTCGATAGATTGCTTACTGGTACGTACCTACTTACTCCACCATTTCTTCAAGACGAAAGGTCAAAGATTATACGCAGGGCGTAGCTAGCGCCGTATCTGCCGTATACCCTCGGACTACTTTACTAGAGCTTCCCAATTTTTATTTTATTTCAGTAATCACAAAAGTCAAAATAAACGATTTATCTCGCGTAAAGCATGCGTTCAAAGGTTGGTAAGTAACTTTAGCAAAACTAAAGTAATCATAGTCCGTTAATTTGCCGATTCGGAGTCGCGGAGAACCTAACGGGTTACCGGGGCTCAGGCTCGAAGCGCAGGAGAAGGAACGGGGTGGTTTTTAGTCAGTAAGAGTCTGACACTCCCTTTCAAGCAGTCTTTCGATGATTTTCCCCCTTAAAATAAAAAAAAGTCCGTTAATTTGGACAGAGGGAGTTACCTGGAAAGTTTTCCGGTTTTAGAAATTATTAGAATTTAATAATTTTAAAGTTAAAAAGTAATAGTAGTAGTTAAAAAGTACCTAGCTTCACCTAGTTTCACTGACGGACTGACTGACAGACTATTATTTATTTTGTATTTGTTGACGTTTCAAAAGTACCAAACTATGGTTTAATAATTGAAATAAATGCTTTGACTTTGACTTTAATTAATTGTATTATGGATAAAAATCTCTTTTGAGAATTTTGTCCTTCAAAGGCCCTAATCCTTTTTTACACGGGGCTCCGCCAAAGCACGCTACATCACTGATTATACGACAGCATAGGTACATAATAATGTATTTCGCAGTAGCTATCATCTGCGTGTCGTCAGCTCAGCAAAATAGGTACGCTAACGCCGTTAGCACGGTGAAGCACCAGTCATTGCCGATATTCCACAGGACCGATCTCTCTGGAACACCGCGCGACATCGCTCGCCGGTTAACTTTTCTAGGGCTGTTGACCTATTTACGTAACCTGCGAAGGTTTGACCTTATCATAAAGATCAATATCTTTTTATTTCGATACAGATATTACTCCGATTTTTCTAGAGTACATCGAAGGCTGTTACCTAGGCGACCGTCAAGGAAAGTGGATATTGTAAATAGAAATATGTTCTTACAGACGCAGCACATCATACTATACTCTCTCTTTAATAGAATCTCGACTTTATAGTTAATGTATAAAGTTGAAAATGTGTTTGATTAGTTTTAATTTGACCTGCTGGGTATACAGGCACGTGTATTCTATTGTACCTCGTAATTTTGCTAAACGTTACTAGGAAGTAAATTTTCTCCCGTTCTAATAGAATACAATTTATCAAATTTCTCATTATTTTCGTCTTGTTATAAGCTGCTTAAGAGCTTACCTATTTATCGTTGTAATATTTTTTTGAAGAGTTTTTCAGTCTATAGTAGTTACAGGTTTCCAATTGTTATTATCAAAATAAAAATTTTAAACCTTTGTTTATTGTTAAGTTGTGAATTTAAAATACATTTTTTTTATGCGGGTAAAGTCATCCATTGACTTCTCCCGCCCGGGTGAAGCGAGAGGGAGTGTCAGACTCTTACTGACTAAAAACCACCCTGTTCCTACTCCTGCACTTCGAGCCGGAGCCCCTTCAACCCGCAGTCTTCCGCGGCTCCGTATCGTCATCAGCCCTATTGGGTCACATCTGTGGTTGTCTGATGGCTCCTGGAGGCGCGCGCAGAACGCGTCACGCCGTACGCTCGCATCTGGTTCTGATCGGGTGGCGAGCTACCCTAGGTCGCTGTCCACAGGTCCGTGCTTACGGTGGCCGAAGATCGCGCTTCCCGATGCCCGGAGTGTCTACCGCGACGGCTGGGGCGTGAGGATATTCGTTCCCTCACGCGCCCCGCCTCCTCCTTGGCTAGCATGACTGCATCGCAAAAGGAGGAGACGGCATCCCAACCAGAGCCGGACGCGAGAGGTCGCCGTCGCCGATCACATGCTCATAACAGTAACAAGAACAACAAGAAAACATATTCAGTATGGCATTATGATATGGTCGTAAGGAGAGCCGGATTAAACTCAGAGAGCGCACTAGGCAATAGCACCTTATAGGCGCCGCTATTGTTTTGGCGCCGCCGTCACTCTATGGGCTGTTGGGCACGATCATCTCGCGGCGCCCTCCTAAGCACAACCTGCCACCCTAAGCACAAGAACATGCCTAGTTTACCTCAGTGATCACACGACTCTGGTCGTAAATAAGTTTATACAGCAGTAATTATAACATGAAATTGTCAAACTGAGAGCGAATTATTTTTCTTTTTTATCTCAACGTATTGTGTTCAAGCAAGCCATGCCCCATTTCTTTAGTTGTGTTGTACTTAAGTTCTTTCATTATGTAGGTAACTAGGTATACTATACAAATAGGTAGGTATATATAAAAGAAAAATCTGCGTTTCTTACGATGTTTGTTTACAGAGCTGTCAGATAGGCAATGCCTGAAGCAATCCACTTGGTTAATTTTCAAAATACATATGTACATATATATACAGACTTGTACAAGTGCCATTTTGTAGCCTTTTTATTACTTACCGAAATAGGTAATTCTAAACATGACAGACAGTTTCATGTCATAATAAAAAGATACATTTTTGTTACTAGATCTCGTAAGTGTGAGGTGTGTTGTAAATATTTTTACAGCATTAGCTAGAAGTTATAAGTAGTTACCTAATTTAACCCACATTGAGCATTAGCAAGCGTGGTGATTAATGCTCAAACCTTCTCCGTGTAAGAAGATGCTTTGCTCAGCAGTGGGTATTTATAGGCTGTTGATGATGAGGATGACCTAATTCAATAAGTAGTTAGTTACGTAGACAATTTTAACCTGTTTCAGTAAACGCGAGATCCCGACGGTTAACTTCACGATCCACAGCGTGCACTGCGCTCGCAACATCCGAGTATGTCCCGTCTGCAAGGAGGCTGTGCTCTATGCTGAACTCAAGGAACATCATGAGAAGATGCATAAACTACGTAAGTGAAGGTCTATAGACGCCGCCGCGCATTACTATGATGAGTCCCTATATGCCTTGAAAGTGTTAGAGATTTTCTCAGTTCCCGTAAATAAGTCGCATATTCCAATTAATTGAACTAATTTGCTTCATGTCAAAGTCAAAGCATTTATTTCAATTAATCCTATAGAGGCACTATTGAAACGTGAAAATTGAATTGTTCGTCAGCGCTTCTCTGTCAGTTAAACTAGGTGATACTTTTTACACAAAAATTGCACGAACAATAAATATCTTTATGCAATTTATTAAGAATAGCCATATCATATACATCCATATATACATACATAGGTCTTACCTTTGTTGTGTATTTATTCACCATAGCAGTGGCTGTGACGAGAAAACGCCTACTCTTACTTGATCAGTTTTCATAATTCCAGACAAAAAGAGGTTATTTATAATTTAGTAAGAAACGCTGAAGCTTAGAAGACTTCACTTTAAAATAACTTCGCTATGACGTCAAATACATTGTTACATCGACGTTGAGCTTTATTTAACCAAGTACTAAACGCAATTTTAAGTACGATAATTTTATTAAGGCTGCGGCTCGATGGATTTGTAATAGGGTGGTTTTTAGTCAGTAAGACACCGACAAACACTGTCGCCTTACAAAATAATGCCTGTTTGTCAACAGAGCCGTGCAAGAAATGTGGCGAGAGTGTCTGCGGTACTGACCTAGAGGATCACATCCGAGACTCCTGCGCGCATACCATCAAAACATGCAGGTAACTACATCGTTATATAGTGCACTACTGGACTGCCGGTTTGTCGGCACCACAGAACATTATAAACTTCTTTATATGTTCTGTGGTCCGCACTATCCTTGGCAGGCCAGTTGAAAATGACAGTTCAAAAGGTTCAGGTTTATATGATATCTCTGCTCTTACGACATTCGCCGGAAGAGTACAAATAATGTATCATAGTCTGTCATCACCACGCCGTTTAATTCTATTCGTGAAATTAATAATTGATATTCCACCTTTACTCGTAGGTTCTGTGAGCTGGAGCTGCCTCGCCGCGACCTACCGGCTCACGAGAGCTATTGTGGAGTGCGCACGGAGCAGTGCCCTGACTGCAAGGAGTGGGTCATGATCAAATACCGGCAGTTGCATTTAGACTCTAATCATGGATTCATTCGACTGGACGATGGTAAGACCCCAAAAACTGTACATATAAAGTAATCACCGGGACCGTTGTCATGAATGCTTAAGCTTCTATCAGTCTTCCAGACTTCCAAATACCCATTTAATAATTAAGCAGAATCTTCTGTTTTAAATTAAAAATGTTATAAAACAGGCAAAGGGAATATTGAATTTTGTATGATCTCACATTGGAGACTTAAGACACATTCGAACTAGTATTTCATCTTTGTGTAGATCCCTCTCCAGTGTCACCAAAGAAGGAGTTACCAAAGAGCCCCGCTAGGCCGGCAGTCCCGAAGCTGACGCGAGCTAACATTGCGACCGCCACCGCGCCGTCTACCAGCAACGGCTGCGCTCGTCCGTTCACCGGCGGCTATAGACCCAACGGTTTGAAGAACATTAACTTGACTCGCACTGAGACCAGGTATGTTCCTAATGTCGGTAAAAACATAACATTACGCCTTTTATCTCCGGAGAGGTAGGCAGAGGTGCACCTTATGCCACTGTACAATGTAACACCCACTAATGAAAAGTAGGTCTTATCTCTGTCGTACAAAATTCACAGAAAACTGTCGTTTTTGACAGATTGCCTCGTTGGCCGAGTGGTCGCAAGTGCGACTGCCGGGCAAGGGGTCTCCGGTTGGATTCCCGGGTCGGGCAAAGTATTACTGGGTTTAAAAAAAAATCTCAGTAGTAGCACGGAGTTTGGAAACGTGCCCGGTATATGGCAATAAGCTCACCCCCTATTACATAGGACTCATAACATAAACAGTGAAAAGTGGATGTTACTTCTGTGTGCACCTCTGCCTACCCCTTCGGGGATAAAAGGCGTGATGTTATGTTATGTTATATGAAAAAAGTATTGAACCTAACTAGTTGGTAAGTACCAAATTAGCTAGTGTTGTGACACTAGACGTCCGATGGTGTGCCATCAGATGTTTGATATTTGACAGCTGCGTGATTTGACAAAAAAGCCCACCCTACCTCTACATTTGCGCCATTTATGAGCAAACAAACGTTAACCCCCATTGTCTTTATCGTCTGTTCTTATTATCTTCAAAGGCTAATCAGTTTTCTTTTATTTCCCAGACAATTCAGCACTAACGGTACACGTCCAGGTCAATTACCAGTTGGTGGCGAGAAAGAGTTCGGTGGTACATCCTCCGATACCAATTGGGCCAAGAGGACCAATGACAAACCACAGATTAATACTAATATGGAAGAAACAAATAAAGTTGATAAAGATCTGTGAGTACAATTTTGTTTACTAGTTTCAAGCCTGCATTATAGAAAAACTAGCTTTGACCCGCGGCTACGCTCGCGTCACAAAAGGATAAAAAGTAGCCTGTGACATATACCAATACACACAGCGCCATCTATACCAATACTTTATTTTCCTCGAGAATATAAATTTTTTCCGGGTTTAAAAGTACCCTATTATTTAATCCGGACTTCTAACTTTACGTCTGCAAAAATTCAAAGCAATCGGTTTAGTAGTTACGGCGTGAAAGTGGAACAAACAAACAAACAAACAAACTCACTTTCCAATTTATATGTTAGTAAGGATCCTCAAACGGAGATCTCTGTTTAATATTGTGCTGGTTATATTAGTCTCCAATGACAAAAGTATGATTATTAACATTTCGTTTAAAGTACTGAATTTGTACTATACCTACCTAATATCATCGAGTTTTAATTATCCTCTCATTAGGTACTCCAATCCACGACTAACAAATTCAATGAAACACATTAAAATCGTGACAATGCAAATATTCGCGATAGTGTGGCCCCAGCATTATGACTAGCTGTTGGAAATGCATTCTATTTATCTGCTTTGAGGTCTGGGGAAAAACAGAAATGATGATTGTATCTGAATATTTATTTAGATTATCTGTATTTATATCTTTGTGCCTACACATGATCATAATCACAGAACATATAAAGAAGGTCACAATCATCAAGATAGATAATGTGCTTTGAAGTATTACTTGTCTGTCTGTTATTTCAATAATGCGTCTTTGGTGTGTATTAAAAAAATAATCTGTTGGCTAAGATGTGATTACAGAATCTGCCACAGAACCTTATCATAAGAATTTTAGATTTAAAAATGTCCAGGGTGCATGAAAAAATGCCCCATCGATTCCGTGATTGTGCCAACATTTTCGGGGAGTACTCCTATCCGGAAACTATAGCGCAATTAAATAGTTTCTTACATAGTCCTTAACGCAGTTGTGACATCTTTGGTATTGCAAGTTTACTAAGACTACACTTACTACCGCGCGCCGTGAGCTTTGTCGCTACCGATATAATAGTAATACAAAAAAGGTAAAAAGAAGATAAACTCGTGGAAAAATATGTTGCCATTAGTGTCATCATCTCTGCAGGGGTGTATCTCGCGGCGCAGTGAAGAAGCGTCCGGCGCCGAAGCCGCCGTGTCGGCGCGCGCCGGCCGAGCTCCCGCCGTCCGCCATCCGCGACCTCCCCTACTACAGCGCCATGCAGCGCCAGCAGGACGAAGAGAGAGAGCGCCAGGAACAAACGGCCTACAACTTAAGTGTCGGTAAGTTATAACAGAGATTGCCAACCAGCGCTTTCTGACAAACCCAAACCTGCCGAGTTTGGAGATCACGACAAACTCTCTTCTATAGTCCCCCTGGCCTATAGTCCAGCAATGGCGTATTCACTTGAATACTGTCAATAAGCAACTGTTTGCCAGAATGAAAACTTACTTTGTACTTAACCATCACAGGTCTTCCCCCAGTCTTAAGTCCGGCAGCAAAACTGGAGAAATTACGTAAGATGGACGCTCTCCAAAACCCAGAGGAACATATGGAAAGGAACCGTCAAGGTAGAATAGTGAGGAATTCGGAAAACGACGGTGCATCTCAAGCAAGCTCTGGACTGAGCGATGAACCTGCGAGAAGGCGGACCGACTTCACGAACCTAACTCCCATGAGTCCCCAGGAGTTTGTAGAGAGATTCAGTAAAATGCAACTGAGGAAGGACGAGGAGATGCGACGGAACAGCACCGTGGGAGACGCCAGGAAGAACGGGGACAGGTTCAGTGAGATCAAGTCGTCTTTGAGGGAGCTCCGCAGGGGATTAAACGAGGTTGGTGTAGCCGTTACAATAGTATTTATTTATAACTTAAAAATATGTATGTTTTGAAAGAGTATCCGGGTCTTATGATGTGTGTACGTGTTCCAGGTGACCGCTCCATACCATTCGAATCCGAACATCAGTGCCAACGCGAACAACAACAACAATAACAATGGGTGAGTTTATATTTCTACATTCCACAATGAAAAAAAAAATTATATAAGTACTAATCAACTAACACGAAAAATACTTTTTCAAAATAAATTTTATTACATATACCTACGTAAGTAAAAGCACTAAAACTTATTGTTTTTTCTTTAGTGTTTTAATTTTACGACCAAAAGCTTTCTTGGCTAAACTATGTACTAAAGTGGACGAAGGCGAAGCTTCGGTCAGACATTATTTATTACGTTTGTCCCGAGTCGGGCAAAGTATTGCTGGGTTTTTAGCTAAAGGCTCACCCCTATTACATGGGAATCATAACATAAACAGTGAAAAGTGGGTGTTACATTGTACAGCGGTATTAAGTGCAGTAATGTGCACCTCTGCATCCCTTCTGGGGTGAAAGGCGTAATGTTATGTATATCTGTTTGTGTCGGTGTGCAGCGAGGGGCGCGCGTCCCCCGCGGGCGACGACGTGCGCCTGCCGTGCGAGTTCTGCGCCTGTCTCATACCCGCGCACAACTTGGTGCAGCACCAGGTAACATTCGCTATTACACTTATTATAAACCAGCTTTGTCTCGTAGTCTATGTCCTTCTCCCTACTCCCAACTATATGTAAGTATGCAAAATTCAAGAAAGAATGTTTTTTTATGATATAACCCGGTAAACGACCAGCCGGATAACCTGATGGTAAGCAATCGGCGTCGCCCATGGACACCTGGAACACCAGAGGCGTCAAGTGCGTTACCGGCCTTTTGGGAATTATGAATTTGAGGATTCTTGGGATTCAGGGATTGGGGGGAGTGCGCAGATTTTGGAAGAAGGGTGATTGGGTTGTTTCACGTCGGTATCAGTTCGAGCAGTCACATGGCTCTCCCACACTTAAAAAGAGGTTGAGTAGATAAGACATAAAATGTAACAAACAAATAATTACAACTCACACATAGAACCCGTTTAGTGCTTGGTGTCGTAAAGCCTCCTTTGTGCCTTTCTACCTCCTGCGTCAATTCATCGAGGGAAGTAGAATCTATAATTTTTTTCTCCTCTATTAATATCTTTTTTTGCGGGATCCAAGACCGTTATTCATGTCCCTGAGCCGCGCCGAACTTCAGTGTTGTTTTCATGGTTGTATCTATTGTAAATCCTGGTTTACAGGAGTTGCTGTTGTTTTGGGAGGTTGTGGCGGGCTTGTCCCATAAAAGAAAAACAAATGATTAGTCATGTTTCATCTCCTTTTTGTAGACTGGCTGCCGGCCTGACCTGGCACAGTTGCGGCCTCGCAGTCCTTCCCCAGTAGGGGCGGTGGCTCTGGAACCTTCACAGGAGCCCTACGAAGAACCCGTCATACCCTGCGAATTCTGCTATGAGTCTTTGCCCGTCTACCTCATCAGCGAACATCAGGTAACCTAAACATGTCCAGAAAAGTAAATTATATCCAATAAAATCAGGCTCTTGTAACATAGTAGGCAGACGCTGCAGAGTTTTAGTATAACTTTCCATCATATTATTCGTGCATATGGTTATACAAGTACGCCAGAGTACTCCTGGTAAGTTAAAATTCCATCAGTAGCCTCGACTCTGTAGTGCGATTCTGCACCAAATACACTAATTCAATAACACAGCTCGCATAAACGAAAAGCTCATTTCGAAAGTAATTGCACTTGAATTGGGTTCCGTATTCTGTAAATAATTAGTAAGAACAAGCCGAACCGGCAAGCTTCGTTCTGTCTAAAAAAATATTTTTCTCACCTTTTAAACCTTCCCTAGACTTCCACGAACATTTCAAAACCAAAATTAGCCAAATCGGTTCAACCGTTCTCGAGTCTTAGCGAGACTAACGATTAGAAATTCATTTTTATTTAGATTATCGAAGCAAAATGAGTTTCGAAATTCGAAGCTGTTGTTTAACAACAAAGTATTACATTGAATCTAAAGTTATTAGGAAGACCTTAAGGAAGACCCCGCTAAACACAAAGATTAACTAGTGTAATCTGAGGCCTTAGTACGAGTCGTCTTCGGGTCATCTCTGCGTCCCCGGCTGGGGGCGCGAGGTCGCGCGATCCAGGCCGATGCCTGTCTCGGCGGATGCGTTCGCTGCCTGCTACAGCAGGCGAGGGGTTGGATTAGTCGGGCTCCTTGCGGGGCCCGATGCGGTGTCGAGTCCGGTGTTATGCCCCGCCATGAGCCGTGCTCTAGTCGGGCAAGCCCAGCGAGCAGCAAGCTGTTGGCGGGGCATAGGTCGTGTCCAGTGGGGGCGCCGCTAGGGGCCGCGCTCGAGCCGGGGGGAGCCCGGCGAGCGGCGCGCGGTCGTGTCCGGTGGTGGCGGAGACTCTACCGATCCGCCTGCGGGGCGGGCGGGAGTCTCACGCGGCGTCCGATGGGCCGGTCGGTGCGACCAGGTCTCGTGGGAGGCCGAGGCCGTCGGGGGGGGCGCCGGTGGTAGGGCGCCAGCCCTCGGAGATGGTCGTGCCGTGACCGATCGGAGCGCTCAAAGAGAGTGGTGCTCAGGCGCTGCACGAATGCGTCGACGCTCTCTACGCCGAGGTCTCGGGCGATTGTCGCGTTCCGTACGAAGCGCGGGGCCTGTACGATGGTGCGCAGCGACAGTGACTGCTGCGCACGGAGGCGTTTCTTGTTGGTTTCGGACACGAGCGCATACCATGCCGGGGCGGCGTAGGTGAGCCGTGTCCGAATGTAGGCCTTGTAGATGCCGAGCTTCGCACGGAGAGGTAGCGCCGAGTCGATCACCGGGCGCAGGAGGTGACGCGCGGCGCGCGCCTGAGCGGTGGTCTGCTGCACGTGGGGCGTCATTGAGAGCGAGCGGTCGATGGTCACGCCGAGGTATTTAACGCTCGGCGCCCACCGGACCTGCTCTCCTATGAGTGTCATGGGTGTCGGCTTCATGATCCCCACGGCGAGCGCCTGGGTCTTGGCCACGTTCACAGCCAGTCTCCACTTCTCCAGCCATTCAGGGAGTGCATCTAGGGCGCGCTGTAGTTTGACTACTGCGTGCCTCGGGTTCAGCAACGTCGTGTAGTAGGCGGCGTCGTCGGTGTACAGCGCTATTAGTACGAGTTTATTTTACGTTTAACTCGTCGAGTACCGTATTTATAGACACAATTAAAGAACAATAGGTTGCGGTCACCGGTGACCGCTTGGTGTTTGACAGTTTAAAGTATTCGAAACGAGTACGCGTTCGGCACTCTGATTGGCTCCAATAAACCAACCAATCAGAGCGCCGAACGCGTACTCGTTACGATTACTTTAAACGTAAAACAAACTTGTACTAAGGCGTGTAAGGCCTGAACTGCCTGAACGAGTACGCGTTCGGCGCTGTAATTGGCCGGCTCAAATGAACTAACCAATCAGAGCATCGAACGCGGTTTCGATTACTTTAAACGTAAACAAACTCGTAGGCCTCTGATCCCTTCTTGCATCATAGTCATTGTGCGATTTGGAAAGATGAATGTCGTATATTTCATAGGTTATGTTTTGCTTCCAGGAACGCTGCGGCAGAGAGGCCAACTTGCTGTACCCCGACTGAACTAGTCTTCCTTAAGTATTTACCACTTTTATATTGTAGTTATACTTATTCATTTAGTTCATTCTTAGGACAGTTTTATTAAATTGTCCACTCGTTTTCCCTCAATGTATGTCGCTCTTTATATATACGTATGTCTTGTCAACATCTTAAATCTATATTTTATGTGGTCATTGTATGAGAAAATCCAGTTATTTTCATAGTATAATCTACTGTCCAACTTGCTTTATGGAGAAAAACTATGTTTTTATAATAACTATCGTGAGACATACTAAATTAGAGGGGGCACGCTACTCGTGAGGAAGAACCCCCCTGTAGTTCGAAACTAGTAGAGCTTTTCTCAGTACATTACACAATAACCCGCAATTTTTAGTTAATTGATAAAAACTATGATGAAATGATAAATTTTGAAACGGTACTTGAGCAAATTAATGGACTTGTTACGCAAAATAATACAAGCTGGATTCTCTTATGTATTGACGATATCTGATCTCTGAAACCATTGAATGTGAAAAGAAAGAGGTAATTAGCGTAGGACAATATGAACAAAGTAATTGGACGTCCCAATGCATGTGTATGCGCAAAGAAGAGACTTGTGGAAGTGACTTATATGTATAATGCTGTAAGGATGATAATAGGTATACGACCAGTGGAGTTAAACGTCTGAAATATTACTATGGCTATGCCGGGCATAAAAATAAAAAATAAAACGAAAAGTGCAACTTTAAAAGGTTTTATTTCTATTGAGCTTATTTAAAAAGAATGTTAATAGCATAAACATTTGACATTTGAAGTAGAAGAATCGCATTTCACTTGCTTTTAAGTTTAATGTAGGTGCAGCACAAATCGATGCATTTATTAATATGAAATATTGATTTATGATTTATGGATGTTAGCTGCCACAAAGAGTTAAATAAAATGCTTAAATAGACGCAGTTAAAATGAATCAGTAACCACAGATGTCAAATGTTTCTGTTAATAATTTAATTGTAAACTACGCTTAAAAACCGACTTCAACCTCGTTTTTTTTTAAGTCAGTTCTTATACTAAAACCTGCTTGTAAGTGTAATAAAACAATTTTTTTTCTTAAAACTGCATCAAAATCGTTTCAGATAATCACAAGATAAATACGGATAAACATACATACCGGCAGAGTTGGGCAAATTGTAATCAGATTAATGATTAAGGATTACGATTACATTTTGTAATCATCAATCAAGATTACAGATTACGGAAATTAATCAAGAAAGTAATCATATCGGTGATTAATGATTATTAGTTTGTAATCGTTATTTTGATTACTTTTTTGATTACTTTTTTGATTGATGCATACTAACTACATTTAGGAATTGAGTTACAAAATTTGGTGTAGAATTATTAAAACCACTAATTTTAACTAGTTTTTGCCGACATAATGTACAAATTGCCACTTTCTTTTTGTTCGTAGACTCCGATTCTGAATACGTAAAAAATTTTCCATCAAGAATGCATGGTAATGTCTCAAGTTGTTCGTGGTGCACGGTTTCAGATTCTGTATTAGTAGATAAAGACGAAAAAGAACTTGACGCCATTTTACAATGAATACTGATTTTACAATAATAATGTTTAAACACCAAAACACATAGGCCAATACGTCACGGTTTAGACTCGTGAATCAATTTACGTTTATATCCTTGCGCAATATTATACAACTGACTGCTTGCGCTATGGCAAGAAGCGGGGAGCAGGCGGCGGATGATTGGCTTACCGGCCGTACCCCGTACCCCCCCCAACTCCCGCACCCCGCGTGCCATATCTTCGAAATGCAATTGAGCACGCAGAAATTCTTTTTCGAATTTACTTAAGGATTTAAATAACGAAAGAGTACAAACCGTCCATGACATCCAAATTGGATCAGAAGTTTTTAGAAAAACTCAGACATACAAGATACATACTGATTGAATATAGAACCGCATTTATTAAAAATATGTTTAAAAAAATTAATCAAATCTACCCATGTAATTAAGATTACTGACTATTGTAATCAAAACTAATGATTACAAATAGTCATGATTCAAAGTAATCAAGATTAAAAGTAATCATGATTGATGTAATCATGATTACTTTCAATCAGATTATTAATCCGATTATATAAGTAGTTGATTACGCCCAATTCTGCATACAGGTCAAAATGCGAACCCATTTTTTTGAAGTCGGTTAAAAATAGGGAGTGTTTACCGTAAAAAGTATGAGTCAATGCTCAAAATGAGGAACGAACTGCTTACAATAATTCCTGACCTCTTTACAACTTTGTCAGTCATAAATAAATTAAAAGAAAAATATAATTTCTGGCAGCTATATAAACTTTTGCGCACAAAAGTTAAAAGCGCAGATTCGATTAAGTACCTATCAGCACTTGTATGTATTATTAAGTTTGGGACAATAAATTGTTTATGAGGCTCAAAATTTAGGTCTGTTATCGTTTATTTTTTATAATCTTTACTCCCTAACTATGAGCTAAAGCTCGTAAAATATATATTATCTAATTTTTGAAAACAATAAATCATGTGTAATTGATTTGAGCCAACCATAAGGCGGCTTTGTTGTAAGTTTTATTAGGTGTGTACTGTGTAGATATATTTAGGAACCTGCGCTAACGATTCTATGTACAGTCAAGCTATTTAGTACACAGATTAAAAAACAACCATTGATTCATTATTTATAGAGACAGTAAGTATAGTCTAACTGTTGAAATTGAAAACAAATTGCAATCGTTATAACTTTCGTGAGACATACTATATCAATTATAATGTTTTTCGGCTTACTCACGTAATTATTTGACGAGGAACTCGATTCAAGCCATGCTAGAGGCTTATATTCATTAGGCAGCGTTCAGTGATCCGCGACGCGGTGACTGTCGCGCTGCTGCTCAGCGCGCCTCGGCATGCTCAAGCATGCTTTGAAACTAGTCGAGTTCCTCATCAAATAATTACGTGAGTAAACCGAAAAACATAATAATTTAATCACAATCGACTTATAAATCTTTGTTGATATTTATTTTCGAAATCAGATTACATCTGAATATTAATTTTTGTTTAACACATGGATCATTAATAATTTCAGTTGTCAAATAGTTATTTATCGTTGGCGCAGGCTATGAAGGTGCCATACAATTTAGAGGCTATAATAACCATATCAATTTTGCCAAGCGAATTTGGTACTTATGTATTATTAGACTCGTATCATTTAAGTTAGATATTGCAAGATATGATACTTTATCGATGTTTATAAACTTGTGACTATAATCTGTACGTGAAACCTAAAGGACCTTACTTAAGTCGATTTTTTGTTGTCTTCGGAAGGATCATTGACATACAAACATGTTAAGGATTAATGGAACATACACTTGCGTGTAAAGAAACGGAGCCACCAGCGTTTTTTCTTTTCTGATACAAGTATTTTATTTATTGATGATATATGTCGTATAAAAGACAATTTAGCGAATGAAATGAAATATAATAACGTGAATCCATATTTACAACTTAAAATTAAATACAACTAAACCTATGAATAAAAAAAATAAGTATCCCAATTTGGTTACTTTTAAAATGAGAGCAATTTGTTGTAAAATGTACTTTTTTAAAGTTATAGAGGGTTCGAAAAAAGGAAAAATAAGCTGGTGGCAGTTTCTTTGCGCCTAGGCCGCTTACAGAAGGACTAGAATGTGTTTACACACAGTATACTATACACCAAAGCGTATTTCCTGTTGCTTTATATCCATGATTTATGTGTCTTTAAAACTTCTATCTGATAGTTCATTGATTGATTGTTTTGTAAAATTATATTAATAACAACACATAGATGGCGTTATGTGAAAAAGTTTAGACCGCTCTTGAAAAAGTGAATAAAACTGATTAGGTACTAGAATAAGAGGTCACGGTATTTTAGTTTGTAGAGTACCTCGTCTCTGAGTTAACCTCAATAATTATCGAAATGAAAATGGGCAAAAAAAAACATATTTATTTGATCGCACTATTAATTATTTTTGAGTAGTCACTGATTAAACATTTTTTAGAATATTGCTAAGGCCAAAAGTTTATCTGTTCGTTATTATTTTATCGAAACGATGTAGTCTTCTGCTTCCTGTAACCTTTATAGTTCAAAGTAGCAACCACTGCACTCAAACTGACCGAGACAATACTCAGGGACTACTCTACAAACTACATACATAAAAATAACTTAGTCGTTTCCATGATCGTTCTGAAAAAACCGTCACCTCTTAGTCTATACCTAATATATTTTTGTATTCATGTCTGTTCGCATTTTTAAATAAAAATTATGATTAGTCTAAATAAAAATTATTGCAAATGAAATTGGACCTCATCTGGTAGGCTGTATTATCAAAATTTGGCACCTTCTTGGATAAATGTGTAGTTTTGTAAAATGCTTTTGTACATACATACGACATACATGTTAACATAACAATATTATATGAATGTTAGTTAGGGTGTACAATTATGGTCTGTCCCAGGCAAAAAGAATGGCATTTAGATAAAACAATATTTTACAAAAAATAATCTTTCGTTGGATTGTAATTATTTTATACCTTTCACTTTACCTGGACTAACTAACCCTGGTAAGGTCCAGATATGGATACCGACATGGTCGTTAAGTCGAATTTTTCACTAGATTATCAACTCATATCTTTTGTAATAAAGTTGAAAATCTAGTAAGTGATTTATTTCTCTAAATAGGTTTAAAGTATCATCACTTTTACTCTGAGAAGATTGTTCTTCTCTCAACAACAAACAGAGAGATCAGTCTTTTATTAATGTTTATTATCTGTGCCAAACATTCATAGACGCACAGAGATAAGTGACTGGTTTCTATACATTTTTTTTTTATTCCAAAACCAATACGAACACACAATACGTTAAATTTGTGAAAAATATTTTAAGTACGCAAATAAAATGCCGATATATTTACAGAAACCTATCTTTTTGTAGTCTCTGAAACTATAATGTTAAATGTATAACGAATTAAGCATAATTTTTTTATAGAATGTATGTATGTGTAAATTGATGTGAAAAGTAATTGGGATTCCAATAAAGAAATGTGTATTCTTATATCTATGTGTTAGATGTGAATATTAAATAATTTGTCCAAAACATCTATTGGCAACTATAATTATGTAATCTTTGTCTATACTCATTATTATAGAACTACTTTTAGTTCTGTATAAGCCGAATCGACTTATAATGGCCCCTTTTAGATGTATGTAATACACTAAGCGCCACTCGTTATAATAAACTAACCTTTCGCTCACGGCTTGGCACGTGTTGTTTAGGATGTTAATATACATGTAAACTATTATAACCCTTCCTCCTGAATCGCTTTCCTCGGGAAAAACCCGCTTCAAAATCAGTTGCCTTGTTTTAAAGATCTAAGCATACATAGGGACAGACAGCGGTAAGCGATGCTTTGTTTTAGTACTATGTAGTGACAACTCCGTATTATACCAACACTTCATAATAAAAATATCGAGCATACTGGTGTCAGATTTCTTTTATATCATAAATGTTCGGTGGGCTTACAACTAATAGAGTTCTCCACGTTTACAAATCTATGCACAGCACATAAAATACTCTTCGGGACATCGTGGTACACTGATTTGCAGCTTGGCACAGTTCCATATTTTCTCACATCGGCATCGTGATCGGAACCTTCTTTTACCAGGGATGGGGATCAAGTTCTGCGAGAATGACCCTGAAGAAGATTTACCGTAATAACTCAGCTTGGGTAATAGTCGGGGAGTCGGTACCCTAGTAGTTTCCTCGTAAACCTCGGTAGTTACTGTTGAATCTTCTTCGTACTTCTCAGTAATGGTTTCGTCGCTTGCAGTTGTTTCGGTTTTCTCTGTCTCATCGAATGTTCTGTCGCTGGTTATACTCTCAACAGCTACAATGTCAGATATACTTTCTTCAGGTTTTTCGCTTGAAGTTTCTTTTATATCTTCGGTTGAAGGGATAATCTTCTCTGTCGTAGATTTTGGTTTGTTTTTGATGGAATATATCCTGTCAGAGTAATTATAGATAGGTTGGCTATAGTTAGCTTGTGAGGTGTTTCTTATTTTCTTCTCAGCGTCAGTTGGTATCGTTACATTTTCTATTCTAGATTCGCTTTTGGCAGTTTTCAGTGCAGGTTGTGTCGGTTCTAAAGGCTTGATATAAGTGATATTGCTATTTTGTTGAGGCGCTGTCTGTGCTACGCTCACGCATACTAGTAACGGGATCAGTGATCTGAAAAAGGAAATATTTAATATTAGCAGAGTGTTATCTCACTGCGATTGGCGACATGGAGGGTAAGCCGTGGGCCCTACCTATGGTCACCTTATTAGGAGTGGGTATGGGGAGAGGGAGTGATTGGGGCTCTGGTAGCATCACTCAAACAGCGAAACACAACGCATGCGTTATTTCACGCCGGTTTATTTTTATTTATTTTATTTTGGTTTATTTTTATTTATTTTATTTTGGTTTATTTTTATTTATTTTATTTTGGTTTATTTTTATTTATTTTATTTTGGTTTATTTTTATTTATTTTATTTTGGTTTTCTGTGAGGGACTACGCAACGGTCTATTTGGCCATGCCATAAAAAATGTATGGAAAACAACGCTGCAACGACGCAACGCACTAATGGGGCCTTACCCTTAATAGCTGCTTACTGCATATTCTTGGCCACGTGACGGGTTTGTTTAATAAGTACTTACATTACATAAATGAAAATTAATTACCTTACCGACAATTAAACATTTTATTGTTTCGGTATTCAATTGAATAGTTTAAGAACATCATAACCAATATACTGCCTCGTTCTAATCAAATCGTTGTAGTGTATTCTTTTGCAATTACCTAAATGCGGTAAGTAGATCACGGGATTACTATAAGGACCGTAACGTTAGGAGCGATGTGGCGACGTCAGAAAATTAAAGGAATACTTTATTTGTTCCTAGGTAAGTATTTTCATAATAGTCAGCAACTACATACCAGTAAGAACTGAGACATTAGTTTCTGATCCTGTCCACATCTCCACGTCATGATATCAACGTCAACTGAACTTTTATTTAACTTGTAGGTATATGTTTGTGAAGTGAAATCTTGCAAATACATCTTCAACCAATCGAGCTGTTTTGTAGACGTACTCGAGTACACGTTTAGTTTACCTACGTGACCATTAGTACCCATAAATAGCTGTTGCAATTAACACTATTACACTACCTAATTCAAATAATGTATAAGCTTGTCATGTTTAGGTATGTACATAAACAATCTTGTTTTATTATGGCAAAGGGCGACAGACGAGCGCCCAGGTTACCTGATGGAAAGTAATCGGCATTGCCTATAGCCAACCGCTACTCCAAAGGTCAAGTACAAATCCGTTGCCGGCCTTTTTGGTGTTAAAACTTGAGGGGGGAACATTGGGGAGGGAGGGAATTGGATCTCCGGTAATCTCACACGGCGAAACACAACTAAAGTGATGTTTCACGCCGGGTTTCTATGACTCCGGTCGATTCGACCCATTCGTGCCGAAGCAGGGTCTCCCACACTTACGTCTCTCATACTCCCGCCGCAATCCGCGCCGCGCTTAGCTGTGGCCAGGGGGTTACGTTGCGCAACGCACTAAGGGGCCTCGCCCTAAGGTAGCACGTACCGTTACTTCCACGTTGCCGACGTTGTGACGTGGAGATGTTGGTCCTATACATAGGCTTTTAATGTATATCATCTAAATATATATATATATATGAATAGCAGTTGTATGTACAAAGATATGATGTCCAGATAGGTATCCTATGTGTAATTGTGTAGTAGAAAGGTTACAACTGATTTCATTCAATGACATTGTTACAGTCACATTCACACTAAGCGCAGAGTTCACGAGCGCACAATTAGAGGAACATGGCATGAATCTTTACAAAAATAGAAGGGTGGGACGCCTGAAAAATAAGTCACCCAAGCAGAAACTGTGGGCCCCCGGAACTCTAGACAATGATAGAAAACTCTCACATGAGAGATCACAGAAATACAACATGTCAGTCCGAAATAAAGAAATCTTACGTGAGAGATCACAGAAACACAATATGACAGTTCCAAATAAAGAACTCATACGTGAGAGATCACAGACATACAACATGCCAGTTCGAATTAAAGAACTCTTACGTGAGACACCAAAGACATACAACATGCCAGTTCGAAATAAAGAACTCTTACGTAAGAGATCAGAGACATACAACGTGCCATTTCCAAATAAAGAACTTTTACGTGAGAGACCAAAGACATACAACATGCCAGTTCGAAATAAAGAACTCTTACGTAAGAGATCAGAGACATACAACGTGCCATTTCCAAATAAAGAACTCTTACGTGAGGGATCACAGACATACAACATGCCAGTTCGAAACAAAGAACTCTTACGTGAGAGATCAGAGAAATACAATATGACAGTTCAAAATATCAGTGGCAGTGTAGTGGAATCGGCCACGCCGAAAGCTAGTCGTCGCTTGGCAACTGTAAAGTATCATTCCGATATAAGTAAGGAGAATCTTAAACTCTGTCAAATCATAGCTTCAACATACCTTGCTTCGTAAGTCTTATCCTGGATTTAATCTATACATATAATAAATCTGTAGAAAAGTAATTTTTGTACATTGAAGAAATTGACAAAAAAAAAATAGCCAGCGTGTTAAAATGATTTTTGAAAATTTTGTCTGTTTGTCTGTTTGTTTGTGCGCGCATCACGTAAAATCTACGAATTCAATGCAGACATTGCTTATATACAAAAGTTCTACGCTACTTGAGGTATAACTTAGTTTTTGTTTCATCGAAATCGGTTCACTCTATCAGAAGATATGATTAATTTAGTGAGTTCAAGAAGTAAAATACCTAAATACAAGTATAGTACTCGAAATGACACCTTTGGAAAATTGGTTTCGTTTGGTCATTGGTTTGAAGTCCGAAGTAAGGCTATTTATTTATTTTTTTAAGGGGGGCAAATCATCGAATGACTGCTCCCGTCTGGGTGAGGCGAGAGGGAATTTCTGACTCTTACTGACTAAAAACCGATACTGTAAGAATGTAAAATTAATAAGTCATAAATATCCCAAATTGTCCCTTAATTATATACACTCTGATTTTAACTTAATTAACGATACGTGCTGGAACATGTCCAACTTTAACAAACTTAACTATAACAACAGCTTACCTAAGATTTCTAATTTAAACACTGATAACTTAGATAAGATCAACGATAGAATTGTTGAGGCTGTTATAGCCTTGCGATGTCCGTTAAACATAAATAAAACGTTAGAAGTGCGCATCCGCACTTCCCGGTACTGTCCATGATATCAAATACAGAGATAAGCAGCATTTCCAGATACTAACTCATTAAGATAACCAACCGTCGCCAGGTCCCGGACTTAGGCTTCTACTCAGTTCTATTTCGGCAGCCCTAAGAGCCATACGTTTTCTAATTCTCGTCCCAAACTCTGTAAAATCATTAAAGTCTTTCCAGATCAATTCAAATCTCTTTTTTAAAAAGTCTCCTCTGAGGTCCAGCCTAACAGAAAGAAGTCGCGGGCACAGCTAGTTACAAAATAAGTCAATAGATTAAGTAAAGTCCATAGCCATCATCTTAAGTTCCAAGGGTAACCACGCACGCTCGTGACACCAATGCGAGTGTGAGCATGTGCGGCAAACGTAAGCACGCGCGCGGAGTTAATATTGTTAAGTAAATAATTCCGCCGGTTTGGACATGTAAAAAGGATGGATGAAAGTAGAGTAACGAAAGAAGTATACAGAGCGGATATGAATGGGGCCGTCGGTAGAGGGCGCCCTAGACCGACATATAGTGACCAGATTTTTGATGTATTAAAGAAGGGCCAAATTAAAAGTACCCTTAACGGACGAGCATGCATGAAAAGATTGATGACTGTTGATGAAGCGAAAGAGGTATGTAGGAATTGTAGTAATTGGCGTTCCCTAGTCTCTGCCTACCCCCATGAGAGATAGGCGTGAAGTTATGTATGTATGTAAATAATTATCTGTTATATAACCTACACGAACATAAAATATTTATTCATTCCATTCAGTGGTCATTCCATTTAGTGGTGATGTCAAAAATCTTGGCTTGCACATCGACGGCAACTTAACCTGGCGTGCTCATGTTACTAGTGTCTGTCAGCGAGTCACGGGGACGTTGCGAGCCCTGTATCGGTTAAAAAACTTCCTTCCGTCGTCGACCAAGGCGATGCTTGTTCAGTCCTTGGTTTTACCCATAATTGATTACGCTGATGTGTGTTACTACGACCTGAATGCAGATCTCCTCAATAAACTTGACCGCCTTCTAAATAACTGCATTCGATTCGTTTTTAACCTGCGTAAATACGACCATGTCTCTGCATATCGGTTGCAACTAAAGTGGTTGCCCATACGTCAACGCAGGAAACAACGGGCGTTAACCACTTTATTCTCTCTTCTTAATTCCCCCACTTCTCCTAGCTATCTATCCTCCTATTTTCAGTTCATAAGTGCAAACCACAGCAAGTATCTTCGTTCCACTAATAATCTTCTTCTACAATGTCCCACACACCGTACCGACTTCCTTCACTCTTCATTCTTTGTCCAATCCATTCTGCTGTGGAATGCGCTGCCCACGGATGTCAGGACGGCAACCAGCCGGCTTAGTTTTAAAGTTAAGGTTCGTGAGCTATTGCAGAGGGAACAGACAGACGCATCACGTACTTAATTTATCATTTTGGCGATTGTATTTAATATATATGTATATAATAATATATATGATGTAGTTTTATTCCCAATTTATTTATTTACTTTTATAGTATTGTTATCTAGTAATATTGATAATGTATCTTATGTAATTTATATTATACCTATATATTATACGGATATATGTATGTATTTACAGTTATGCATAATCATGAATTTATTTATATAGATTTTTCTGTGTCACATAAACCATTACACCTATTACACCTACTGTTGCACATCTCTGCATCACCCCATGGTTGACTGTTACAGAATGCCACCCGGCATTAAGTCCGCCATCGTATGTTTGTTATACAGAAGTGTTAATAAATAAATAAATAAAATACCTATGTAAATATTTCAGTTACCCAGATTTAAGAGCACACTACAATCTACGATACTTCTATCAAGGAAATTATGAATACGAAGCCGGATACTTGGTGAACGATATACTAACGAAATATCAAAGAATGCTAGAAATATTTCACATCGCTCAAAATCGATATTACAAAAAAGGGGGAAAATTTTATATTAAAACCAACTACTTGCTGTATTTGTATACCAATATGTTGACGTTGGGGAAGTCGACCGGTCATATGGTTAACACACTTACTGAACTGGAGATCAAGTACAAAGCTTTTCCACCAACAGGCTTTGAAGATTACCACATCGGGAAAAAGAAAAAGAAGAAGAGTAAGTTTAGTTTCATGTTAACTACCTACCTGTATGGAAAATCTATATGTATAGATACATACTTCTTTAATATATCTGTGGATACATAGATACCTAGATCTGGAAATTAGCGCGTAAACCAACTATTTGCATTCCACGCGCGCCTCAAAGAGCTATCAGACCACCACGCATGGGGCCCAATAGGGCTGATGCCGATATGAAACCGCAGAGAACTTAACGGGTTACCGGGGCTCCGGCTCGAAGTGCAGGAGTAGGAATGGGGTTTCAGTCAGTAAGAGTCGGACACTCCCTCCCGCCTAACCCAGGCGGAAGAAGTCATTCGATGATTTTCCCCCCGTAAAAAAAAAAATGTTATTGAGTATTATAAATATATAGAACTAATTTTTATTTCAGAAAATGGTACAAATTTCGATATACCTCCTGAATTCCAGGAATCTATCGATGAGTATGAAAGGAAGTTACGCAATATAAAGAAACAAAGGAAACGAAAGCGCAAGAGGGACAGACTGCAGAACCTGTACATTGGGTACTGGCCGACCACTCCCGTCAGGAAACCAAACAGCAGGTTAGTTTACAACTTCGCAACAAAATTGGCTGACGTGTTCATAAAATATAAAATCACGCCTTTTATCCCCGAAGGGGTAGGCAGAGCTGCCACTGTATAATGTAACACCCACTTTTCACTATTTTTGTTATGAGTCCCATGTAATAGGGGGTGAGCCTATTGCCATATAACGGGCTGTTATATCCCTGATATGTAAGGGTTTATGCTGGGATGACATAAGAAATGCATCATCATCATTATTATATCTTAACGTGTAAGGTGGCATGCCAGACCCCTCAGTCTGAACAAGATCTCCGAACGGTACGGTTGTATACTCAGTCCTTTAATTAATTAAAATAGTTTTAATATAAAATTAGTTTTTTTTAAAAAGAAATCCTAAAGGACTCTCGTAACATTTTGGTGGCAGCGGTGGGATCCGGAAATATCCAGTGCCGTTCCGCAGACTCGCGCCGGATCTCGAAATATCGTGAAACATCCCAAAAAGTGTAATCAGATAAGTGAACTTATCACCCACTGTGTTACCCGTGTAAAACCCTGGAAAACTCCTAATCGTAATTCCGTAACCATATTACGAGTCCTGAGACAAAGTGTCCAAAGGGAGCCTATTATCCTATATCAGTGACCTGTGAAGTGAAAATAAAATCAGTGTCCTGTGAAGTAAAATCAGTGTCGTGTGAAGTGAAAACCCTATCCTTGTCCTGTGACTAAAGGATACATTAAAACCTCCTGTCTGTCTCTCCATTGAGTGATAGCCACTCAATTCGACCTTCGACACATCCTGTCGGAGAGAGAACAGTCATTCGCCACACATCGTGCTTCGGAATGTTCCCCGTCAGCGTCGCCGTCGCCGTCGCGCTCTTATCAGCTGCTCAAGTAGTAACGATACAGTAAGTCTTTGGTCATTGTTTTGAATTCTATTTTTAGAGTTCCGTTGGCATATATGCAAACGTTTTTCATTGTTATCGTATCGAATTAGAGTCCTGAATACATTTGGCGAAACTCTTCGTTTCCTTGGCTAGTTTAATGCAATTATGCTAAGTGCCAAAACCGAAGAGTTCTCTTACGACAAGTCTGAAGAATCCGTAGAATCCAAAGGTAAAGCACCTCGACAACCATCACCATCTTCTAGGACTACTAGGGCTAAGTCAAAAATCCTCGAAATGGATATCAATGCCTTACTTAAATTCATTAAACCATACGACGGGAGTAGGGAACACCTAAATGCATTCCTTATTAAATGCACAAACGCCATGGAGTTGGCTACCGACATCCAAAAACCAATATTATTCAAATATATAATTAACTCCTTAGAAGGTAAAGCGGCAACCACCTGTGCTATTAAGGAATTTAGCGACTGGTGTCAATTAAAAGAATTTCTCAAAACCCAATTCAGTGAACATAAACACTATACACACCTATTAACCGAACTACAAGAAAGTAGACAGGACACACACGAGACGGTAAGTCAATTCTCCCTCCGAGTCGAAACTGCTCTTTTCCACTTACTCACAGAGATCTCATTGGCTAATTACCCACAGAAAGAAATTCCTGGCCGTATAGCCTCCATGGAGGACCTTGCTTTACATCATTTCCTCATGGGACTACTACCGAGGATTTCAAACTTGGTCAGAGCCCGTAACCCTAAAAACTTTAATAGTGCTGTAAATTTGGCTATGTCTGAAGAGAAAATACAGAATAGTCAGTTCGCTAAAAGAAATGCTTCCCAAGCACAATCCAGCAGCACATTTAAACCCCATCAAAAGTCGTCCAACAAACCTAATTCTAATAACTTCTCTTCACAATCTAAAAAATCGTCGTTCACCGTGAATAATAACAACACCCCTAATATCTCGGGATCGTCAACGTTTTGCAGATACTGCAAGGCCACGGGACACGACATTAAAGATTGTGAACTACGTATAACTAATAATAATCGCCGCAATCAAAAATCTAACGATAACCCTAACAACCCTCTTCCTAATCGCGTGTCTCACGTAAATGAATATGATGATGCTCCTGACAGCGACCACCAGGATGAAAATGACCCTTTAAACTAATGAAAGTCTCGCCCCGGTGTCGTTCGAGGCTATCACCGAAAATCGACACCAATCACATGTCCCAATCCAATGACCTTAAAATCTACGAAATAAATATCGATACAACAAAAAGGTTGTTACCCCATGTCCTTCTGGATTCTCCTGTAGCGGAAATACCGCTCTCCTTACTTGTCGATTCCGGCTCGGCAATCTGTTTACTAAAACATTCCACTATTAGTAAACCTCCCAGGCTTATTAAAGAGCCAATCAAACTCAAGGGTATTGACCCAGGCAATGAGCCAACGACCACTGAAGGTCACTTCCAATTAAAACTAAAAGTATCCCAAAGGATGTCCATTCCTTTTAAATTCCATGTCGTAAAAAATATCGACCTACCCTATGATGGCATCATCGGTACAGATTTCCTTACTACGTTTGGTTGCAAAATCGATTACACCAATGATGTGTTGAGAATCGGCAACCAAATTGTAAAACTACACTTCTCCAAACCCTTTTATATAATTCCACCCCGTACCGAATCCGTCATCGAATGCTCTGTCCAAGAAACCAATCTCAAGGAAGGAATCATAGCAGACCAACACTTATCCAGTGATCTATTAATTTCCAACTGTATTGTCAAAATAAAACATAATAATCGAATTAATCTTACAATAGCTAATACGTCTGATAATTACGCGCATGTTAGACCAAACTTGAAATTAAATGTAGAACCATTATGTATTAGTTCCTTCCCAGTCAATACAGACATCCAAGGGACTCTTGAACGATCAAATCAAGTAACCAAATCCCTCAGAACCGATCACCTTAATCAGGAAGAAATATCCGCACTCAAAGAGCTATGCTCCCAATACTCCGATATATTTCATCTTCCTGATGACCATCTGACATACACGTCAGCCCTCGAACACAATATTAAAACGACCGATAACACGCCCGTACATACTAAATCATACCGTTTCCCCGAATGCCATAAAAAAGAAGTAGAAACTCAGATCAATAAGATGTTAGATGACAACATCATAGAACCCTCATCATCCCCATGGAGTTCACCTATATGGATAGTCCCCAAGAAGCTGGATTCTCAAGGCCAACGCAAATGGCGAATAGTAATAGATTATCGTAAACTAAATGACATCACCATAGGCGAAACATACCCTATCCCACAAATATCTGAAATACTCGACCAGTTAGGGAAGAGTAAATATTTTACCACCCTAGACCTTGCTTCCGGCTTCCATCAAATTCGTATCGCCCCGGAAGATGCTCCTAAAACAGCATTCTCTGTTCCACAAGGACATTTCCAATTTAACAGAATGCCGTTTGGACTGAAGAATGCACCATCTACCTTCCAGAAGCTCATGAACAGCTGTCTTACAGGCCTTCAAGGTACTAGATGCTTCGTCTATCTCGATGATATCGTAGTCTACTCTTATGATCTAACCTCACACATTCGTAGCCTAGAATCTGTATTCCAGCGAATCCGTAATTTTAATTTAAAGATTCAGCCTGAAAAATGCGAATTCCTCCGGAAGGAAGTCACTTATCTAGGGCACATAATTGGTCAAAATGGCGTTCAACCTAACCCAGATAAAGTCAGAGCCGTCACAGAATTTCCCACACCTAAATCACCTAAGGATATAAAATCGTTCTTAGGTCTTGTGTCATACTATAGACGGTTTATACAGGACTTTTCTAAACTAGCTAAACCTCTAACTAACTTACTCAAAAAAGATGTGCCCTTCATATGGGAAAATACCCAACAGTTATCATTCGAAAGTTTAAAGGATAAACTTGTTTCCGCCCCCGTATTAGCCTATCCTGATTTCTCTCAGCCCTTCATCCTTACCTGTGATGCTTCAAATTACGCGATTTCCGCTATTTTATCCCAAGGTCAAATAAGTCAAGACCGTCCCATAGCATTTGCATCCCGCACTATGAATAAAGCAGAATGCAACTATAGTGTCACGGAGAAAGAATGTCTTGCCATATTGTTCGGCACCAAAGTATTTCGCCCTTACCTATATGGCAACCGATTCTCCATTGTTACTGACCATAAGCCCCTACAATGGCTCTTTAATTGTAAAGATCCTGGTTCAAGATTAATCCGTTGGCGACTTAAACTAGAAGAGTTTGAATACGATATAAAATATAAAAAGGGTAAAATAAATTCCAATGCCGACGCCCTTTCCCGATTTCCGGTAAATCCAGTCCAACCGGAATCTACCTCTAACTCTGAATCTAAAATCGAAAACGAACCCTCTCAGGCAGTAGATAAAGACCTCATGGATCTACTAATATCTCCACCCTCGTTCGACCCTGAAACGTTAAACTCACCTACGTCAGATCCTCTTGCTCTGAATGATAATGATTTACTCCCATTCCCTGAAATAAAACCTATCCCTGAATCATCTGAAGTCCTGAAAGAAAACACTAGCAACCACTTACCCTCTACCACACGATGCTCGCCGACTTCAGACTCTCCAGCTGCAATACCACTGGCTCAGCAACCAGATGGCAACACTGAAATCATTAATGACTTACCTGATCTATCTGACGATAATTATCCTGCATTCCTGAGGGCACTAGCACGAAAGGATAATACGAGTTTTAATACCATAATCCAAGAACACAATGAAGATATATCTAAATCCAAATATAAAATAATTATCTTACCTACTTCCATTGACCTTGATGAGTCAAATCCATATGTCCAAAATATCATGGACAATATCCCCAACAGTTCAGAAATTATCTCCAAAGAAAGATCCTTGAATTCATTCATTTCATTTGAAAATAAAGATAAACTATACTATCTCCTTTTTTTTAAAGTACATCATTTTGATAAATCTGATTATCCAGACATCTATGAGAGCCTTAGAACAATCAGGAACGAGTTAGTTATTAAACTCGACCTAGACTCGAACCCTGACATCTCCATAACAGATTTTAAAAACCCATTTGATAGTCATCAATATGTTAAAATATATAATATGCTTCTCTATTTATTCAATAACAGTAACATAAATGTACACGTATACAAAGGATCGATCATATACCCATCGTCGTCTGAAATCCCCAAGATACTTAGGGAGAATCACGACATTCCTATTGCTGGACACTTAGGTAGTAATAGAATGCTTAAAAGAATTCAAGAAAACTTCTATTGGAAAAATATGCGGACTGACATTGAAAATTTCGTCAAGAAATGTGTACAATGCCAGACTAACAAAGCCCTTAGACAAATAAATCGGGCCCCCATGCAAATAACAAGCACATCCACTCAACCCTTTCAGCGAATATCCTTAGATATAGTCGGGCCACTACCTGAAGCAGGTCCCGCCAAATTGAGGTACATACTAACCATCCAAGATGATCTAACAAAATTCTCTTCTGCTTACCCGATTCGAACCACTACTGCAGAAGAAACTAGTGAATGTCTTCTTCACTATATATCTATCTTTGGCATTCCAAAAATGATCCTCACAGATCAGGGAACTAACTTCACATCGGACCTATTCCGCAAAACTTGTGAATTCCTTAAAATAAAGAACCTTTGGTCGTCCCCGTACCATCCGCAGACGCAAGGCGCCCTTGAGCGCAGTCACTCGACTCTCAAAGAATACCTTAGATCTTTCGTAAATGAAGAACAGTCCAACTGGCCCAGATACGTGTACACAGCCATGCTTACCTATAACACATCCGTTCATTCAACAACCAATTTCACCCCATTCGAACTAACTTTCGGAAGCAAACCTCTGATCCCAAATTCTATCTATGACGAAGCCCCAGGAGCAACTTACCCTGACTATGTCCGCATGCTTCAGAATAGATTAAAGTATTGTAGAGACAAAGCCTTGGACTCCATAAGGAGATCCAAAGAAACTTCCAAAAATTACTATGACACTCGCACTCGCCCTGCGAAATACAAAGTCGGTGATTACGTGTACCTGAAGAATCACCTGCGAATGCGCAAGGCACTTTCACCACAGTGGAAAGGGCCTTACAAGGTAATTAGAATCAACGGAAACAACACACTTACCTTACTCATCAACCGACGTCACGTCATACATCATTATGACCAAGTGAAGCTGGCAGAAGCAGCTCCGTAATTTAGGAAATAAACACATAATCTTAAAATTACTCTAGACTTACCTTAGGTTATCTTTACAGTTCAGCTCAGAGTCAACCTAACCAGAGTTTCATCGAGCCAATCAACTCTAGTTCCGGACTCTACTTCGATTATTTAGGAAAGCTACGAATAAACAATATTGAACTTAGTATAGTAATACCTGTAGACATATCTCATTTCAAACCACATATTGATAATATCAAATCAGCGCTTTTAGTTACTGGAAATTTATGTAAACAAACCAGAATTATAGAGATTATCTCCATTTGTTATAATAATTTAAAACCATTGTCGGCCCGTTTCCAAGATATGAGTAAGGAATTAACATCAATCTCACATTTAATTGATAACAGGACAAAACGTTCCGCCTGGGTTAGTGGTGCAGGAACAATCTTAAAGAAAATATTCGGCACCCTAGATGAAAACGATGGCCTACAATATGACGAAACTATCAAAACATTACAACTCAATGAAAAGAAATTAGCTTCATTATTAAAAGAGAATATTTTAATAACCACTTCTGTTTTAACTCAGTATAACGTTACATTAAGTAAAATAATAGAGAACGAGGCAAACTCAAAAGAAGCCATTGATAGACTTTCAGTGAGTGTTAGAAACATTACTGAAACCACAAATGGTTTACAAATACAAACAAATGTCAATGAAGTTATCAATGCCCTCGAGACATCGATACTTACTCTATCTTTTCAACTAGAAGATATCACTAACGCTATCCTATTTAGCACCCAAAATATTTTACACCCTGCAATAGTAACCCCTACACAACTCCACAAGGAACTAGTAGATAACTATAGACATTTACCCAGTGACCTTGAGTTGCCTGTATCTTTAGATATTAAGTCCATACATGTTATTTTAAGTATTTCTAAGTTAGTTTGTTTCTATACTAGTAATAAGGTAGTTTTTATATTGCAAGTGCCAATGGTAAAAACTCAAGAATATCTGCTATTTCATAATATTGCATTACCAACACCACACAATACTTCAAACCCAAACACTTTCAGTTTAATTCTCCCTGATAACAAATACATAGCAATGACCAAAGACAAATCCTACTATTGTGTTTTCAATAGTTTGGAAATTTGTAAAATAGTGACTTCTGGAAATTATATCTGTGATATTGAAAATGTGTATTCTACTGATGCAAAACCTACATGTGAAAGTGAACTCCTTACCAAGGTAATTAGCGTGAAACCTGCTCAATGTCATACGAAGATCCTCATTGGAAAGGTAAATATCTGGAAATCCCTGATCAATAATAAATGGATCTTTGTACAGTCAAAACCTAACAAAATATCGATAGACTGTTTAAATAACAAATTAAAAGAAACCACCATTTCAGGTACAGGGATATTAAGTATCCCCAAAAATTGCATTGTCCACTGTAAAGCTACCACACTTATACCTAAACAAAACAATTTTAATATAACTTCACCAATCAGACATTTTCCAGATTTTAACTTAATTGAAGACTCTTGTTGTTCCATAAAAACAGTATATGAAAATGCCAGTAATATACTCCCTGTAAAACTAAATAACATAGACCTAGATGATTTACATACCAATTATAATGATAAGATAAAGTCTATTTTAAATGACCTTGAATTTGTAACAAATCCAACAACCCCTCATATTGTAACATATGGTAAACACTATTCTATTGTAACACTGGCAATTGTAATCTTTATACTTATATTTCTTAATTACCTAGTTTATAAGAAAATTTGTCAACGATATAACCGTTCCCGTAGGAATAGAGCAAATATTTGTATAACATCATCTCAGCCTGAACCTTCAATAGAAATGACAGATAGACAAACAGGTTTCGAAGATAGTACACCTAATACAAGTAATATTGCTCCACTTAGGGTAATAATATAACAGAGACTTTGAACCAACCCCAAAGCCTCTTCTTAAAGGGGGAGGTGTTATATCCCTGATATGTAAGGGTTTATGCTGGGATGACATAAGAAATGCATCATCATCATTATTATATCTTAACGTGTAAGGTGGCATGCCAGACCCCTCAGTCTGAACAAGATCTCCGAACGGTACGGTTGTATACTCAGTCCTTTAATTAATTAAAATAGTTTTAATATAAAATTAGTTTTTTTTAAAAAGAAATCCTAAAGGACTCTCGAAACAGGGCACAATTCCAGACTCTGTGCTACTACTGTGAATTTTTTGAAAAACCCAGTAATACTTTTTTTTTAAACCGACCCTGGAATCGAACCCGAGACCCCTTGCCCGGCAGTCGCACTTGCGACCACTCGGCCAATGAGGCAGTCACTGCTGACGTGTTCCTTTTACAAAAACCCTTTATTTATAAAATGAAGATTTCAATAATTGTTTTACAAGCTACGTTGAAAAAAACCGACTTCAACCCCCTCATTTTGAGGTCGGTTTATTAATATACTAATACCACCCTTCTAAGTGTAACAAACACTTTTCTGAACACCACATCAAAATCGGTTCAGCCAAACGTGAAACAATCGCGCACAAATATACATACATACTTTCTTTTTTTGAAGTCGGTTAAATAATACATTAAAATGTTTATATTTATAAAGCATTTTCTAGCAATAAAAATATAAATCACACCCCAAAATAGGTAAATGTAAACACCTACTTACTGCTAGTTACACATGTAACTTAAAATGAATTTTATTCGCTGAGGACTGGAATATACACGCCTTTTTTGGTATTAGTGACTGCCCCTTTTTTATAATTTCATGTCCCGTTGTCCCCGAAATGAACTCTGGGACGCAAAATTGTCCCGTTCTCGGAAACCACGCGATTTTAGGTAGTTGATAGGTACAGTGCTATACATAACTCGCTAATTTTTGTCGAAGTACAGTCGAAAACAACGCGGGTTACTCACGTGAATATACTGAGAAAAGCGACGTCGCCGCGACCGCGCACGCTGCTCATGAGGAAGAACCCCTCTGTGGTTCGAAACTAGTAGAGCTTTTCTCAGTATATTCACGCGAGTAACCCGTGTTTTTAGTTAATTTAGTGTCTCACGATAGTTATTATAAAATCTCTTTAAGTACCTACCAACTACATATTTGTACAGTTAGTAATGGTAACTTTATTGTTGTGGGTACAAAGTTTGTGTTTACAAGACAGGTTCTATAATAGGATTTGATCTAGCTACTAGATGCCTGACTAAATCTAAATATACAAATGTCCCGTTTGGATCCAAAAAATAAATGGTGACGTTAAGTATGATTCTCTTTTTTCAGTGGTAAATGGCCAATTGAATACGGATGGAGTATAGAGCACATATGGTGATCGCCAGCTCCCTGCAGCTTGTCAAATACATATGTATAAGCATGTACAGTCAATGGTCAAAAGTCCACTGTGAGTGATGTTCACACGGCAATGCGTAAGTAATTTCATATCAATGTGCATAAAAACGTACGCATAAACACGCGCACGCGTACGCACACGGATAAAAATATGCGTGTGCATGTGTGTATAAGCGCTGCAGCGCAACCGATAGTAGTTTAACGTTGGCACGTTGGTGGACTTTTGACCTTTGACCGTACTTACATATGTCACGATGGACACAAATATTATAATATTTACGTGTGTGAAAATTTAACGTGAATTCAATATTGTATTCCAATAAATAAATATTAAAGGTAACTATCATAATTTGTATTTTCGTACAAATGATGCCCTTATCATTACAGAATTTCTTTACTTGTTTGAACGAGCCATTCTCCGGAACTAGTGGTTTCGAATCGAATAATTCTTTTTGTGTTGGATAGTCCTATCGATGAAGGCTAAGTTTAGGCTATAAAATATTACGCTACGATAATTAGAAGCCGAGCAGACCGGGAGTAACTAGTTGATTTTTTAAACAAGTTTTATACAGCTCTGCACATGAAATTATGGCAAACCCTTCTAATGCAATGGACGCTCAAAGTCGAGCAGTGAACCGGCGTGAGCTATTGATGATGATGATGAGGAAAAGCAAAGAACATTTCGCTTATTTTGCGACACTATTCATGTCACATTTAATCTTATACAAAAGAGGCCCATTGTCTATCAATGGCCTGTTGATTATAGTAAATACTGTACTAACTGTACGTCATCATACTCATTATTGGAGTGAGATATTTATAAGTAGATGTGACATAAGAGTTTAGCCAAATATCTGCATTAAGGAATTACTCATAAATGGACCATGAAGCGAGGTTGAGTTCATGATAAATATGACATAAGTAAATCTCCCAATCAATGTTGAACACAAGTGCACTCCCTGTTCCCTCACCCTCTGTACCCGACGGAATGGCACACTGACATGACCGGAGAGAGATCAGGCGCAGGATTAAAGGCTTTACGTGCTTCTCGACTCGCAGAGGTGAATCACCGCCGAACTTTCTGTCTCAGAGCTAATAACGATCATTTTGCTCACAAAATGCCTTTATTACTTGACTAGTGCGGGAATCGATCGCGACGCATTGCACAGCAGCCGGTCAAACAACTACTTCGCCAACCGTGCAGTTACTCATGACATGTATGTCTTATTTTTATCTTGAGTCAATATTGACAGACCTTGACCCAGCGCATGAGCGTTTATTAGGATGTGTACATAGGTACATTCAAATGTGTCGGTTCGCCATATCATTTACGTTGGACAGTCAGCAAAGTACTTCTACTACGGAGACAGTAACTATTGGTTGGTTGCTGGTACCTACCTCTATATAGGCACTGTTACACATGCTAACAGAGGCCGTAGTACAAGTGTGTTTCTCGTTTAAAGTAATCGAAACGAGACGGCGTTCTGAGGCCTTAGTACAAGTTTCATTTATTCTGATTGGATTCTGGTAGTTTCTTGTTCTGATTGGTTGGTTCATTGGCGCCGGCTAATGCCGAACGCGTACTCGTTACGAATACTTTAAACGTAAATCAAACTCGTACTAAGGCCTCTGTGCTTTGATTGGTTGGTTCATTAGAGCCGGCCAATCACAGCGCCGAACGTGTACTCGTTACGATTACTTTAAACGAAAAAGAAACTCGTACTAAGGCCTCTGATTGGCCGCGCACCAATGAACTAACCAATCGTAGCGCCGAGGGCAGTCTCGTTTCGATTACTTTTGAAGTAATACAACTCGTACTAAGGCCTCAGGTTACAAAAGATTTCTCTTCCGACCAACCCCGAGACTGCTCTGCAGTTGCGCGGTGCGCCTTATGCTTTGTTCGCACTACGCTTGTATTTAAGTCGAGTGACGAGTATTTTTTAGTAGCCTTCTCTCGCTTTTGTCCCAAAGTCGAAGCGAAAGAGAACTATTAAAACTCGCTACTCTATTAAATACTAGCGCAGTGCGAACAAGGCTTTATTTACACTTGGGTGCAAAGAAACGAGACCACAAGCGTTCTTTTATTTCTTTATCATTTCTTGATAAATATTTTCTGGTACCATTAAAATGGGGCATTTTGTTGTACAGGGATATTTTCTTTTTAACTTATAGAAGGTTTAATAGAATGCAAAAAGAAAAACTTTAGTGGCTCCTGTTCTATGATCTCAAGTGTAAGTACATATATGTAATTCACATGGTTGTGTTTATTAATTATCCTTGATATTGGTCACATATCTGTTGTCACGCAGTATTTTAGACATACACAGATAATAATAGTATCAATATTTGATTAGCACCTGTTTACCAAAGGTTGTCTTACTTATATCTATCTATATTGGCGTTCCTTGTGAGTGCAATTCGGTAGTTGACAACTATAGTCAAATTCAATACTTTAACGTAATTTCAAAAACCGATATACTTTCTATAAACTTTAAGTAGCAGATTGCAACATTTGACGTCATCAAATTACTGAGTTGAATCGCGTAATTAAAAATTTAAAAATTCTTAAAAAATACTAGAATCATTTTTATATTAACGATTTTTTAAATAATATATCGTATTGAAAAGTCCGTAATCATTTATTTATAAGTTAAAACTATCCAATTATGCCTACATCATCCACAAATTAACTCGTCGAGTACCGGTTTTATAGACACAATTAAAGAACAATAGGTCGCGGTCACCGGTGACCGCTTGGTGCTTGACAGTTTAAACCTGAACCTTAATACATAAACGGCGGTTGGTATTGGTACGTGGGTCACCAAGATACAGGCTGTGCCTAGTTTGGGGCCCACGGGCACCTCTGCCGTGTTTGCGTTTATGTATATGCTGTCCGCTTCCATATCTACATGTAATGTAACTTGTGTATGCCAATATTTTTTTTATATAAATTACAATTTATTTTAATTATTTATTCGGACGGAACCCGTACGACGATTTGACGGGTTCCGTCCAATCCGTCAAATCAAATAAATAAGCGAGTGTAAATCACACAACATATTATTGTATCAATCCTACAGCTGAAATAAAATTTTCAGCCTTGCAACTTTAATCAGCGACATATAATGCGACATTATATGTAACCTTCAATGTTACATGATCAAGGTTATTTTTGAAATATAATTTTTAACAAAAAGAAAACGTAGAAATAAGTGGACGGTTAATGGGGATGATGACAGGGTATGAAAATTAAAAATATAATTAGTCCGTAAGTTAGGTAATGAAAAAATATTAGACACGTATTTTTTTATTTTGTCGTATAATAAAACAATACTTAGATAAAACGAATCAAAGTTTAGGAGTGGGGGCTAAAACGTCATTTCTTAGTATAAAATGTACTGAGAAGTGACGTCACGCGACATTTCAAATAAATATATCTTCGAAACTATTCGTTTCTGTGAGAAAATAAAAAATACGTGTCTAATGTTTTTAAATAATCTACCAGACGGACATTAAAATAAAAATTAGTCGTCTACCCTAATAGGGTAGACGACTAAGTGTATAGATAGCCGCGGAGAACCTAACGGGTTACCGGGGCTCCGGCTCGAAGTGCAGGAGTAGGAACGGGGTGGTTTTCAGTCAGTAAGAGTCTGACACGCCCTCTCGCCTCACCCAGGCGAAGGAAGTCATTCGATGATTTTCCCCTTAAAAAAGTGTATAGATAAGTATAAGTAGGTAGTCCTATTTTTAGAGATTTCACGTTTATTTAGCGTCAAACAACATACTTATTTCTTAAAAATATCTTTTATCATAATATCAATTAATGGAAGTGTGATTATTTTTTAATATTTTTTTTTGTATTGAACAGTCGGATTATTTTATTTTTGATTAAGGTAAGTACCCAATTGACATCTTACAGATTAGCCTAGCTGCGTCTTGGTGCACGAGGCCTTGAAAATGCCTGTAATAATTGCTACTCTTGCTACGTAGGTCTACGACAGCCGGCATAATTTGATGTAATATTTAATTATGAGTGTTTAAGGTTATACCTACACAGGCTTCATTGCAAGCCCCATTAACCTTGCATTGTTCATAAGCTAAACTTGTTAGATAATGACAAAAACATTCAAAGAAGTTCATGCATTAATATTTTACATAATAATAATTATTTATCTTTAATTATTAGTCTTGAAACTGTAGTCGTCGTGTATATAGATATCATAACAAAAACATTGGATTCCGTAGTTCGATCTTCGGCTCGTGTCATTGCATTCCATAGTTAGGGCAGCAACGTAATATGCTGAAATTAGGGCGCGCGTTCGCGTTGTGTGATTTTTTTCTGTCAATAGCGTGATGATCCGTAACCATTTAAACTAAACGATAATAATAAATCAATCATTTTATTGGCTTCAACTCGTGCCCAATAGTAATTAAAAATAAATAAACAATTCTAATCTTACAGAATTAACTAATTTGTATGTAATTTATAACCATTTGGCGTTATTTTTAGTGCAAGCGGATAAACAAATTATGCTTAATAAAGTAGAGTAGGGCATATGAGATAAGTAAAAAATTATATAATTAATAGGTACATTGGTCTTATCTACAATTTTGTATATGAACGTAGGATTAGAGGCGAGCTAGACATGCTAGGTAAGTAAACTCTAGATATATGTAAGTAGATAACTTCGTTATAGAAAATTCTCTGATTAAGGTACTTAATGGCATCCTATAAGGATCGGATCCCAATAAGGCTCACGTTTGAGAAAACACACTACCCATTTCCATCTCTATCTTTTAATTTTGCACGCCTGCTTCTCATGCATGAGGATGCGAGTTTGAAACCTGGCAAGCACCTAACATACCACAGTGTCACTTTTCCGAGTTATATTTTCTTCCAAGATTATCGGTTTGTTGACAAGCGGTGAGGGAAAACATCGAGCAAGCGAATGTGATTGCACAAACCTTCTCCGTGTGAGAATA